AGACCCAAATTCTCCTCTTATAATAAAAGATTAATAATAATATTATATAGGATTTCTAGTTAGCTCTAATTAAAGCCTTTATAAGCCCGGCTTAGGAAGAAATCTAGTATAATAATATCTAGCTAGTAAATAAGCTATTAAGTAAGAACCGAGAATTACTAGAGCTAGAAAAGCTATGAGATAAGGCAAGAAACGAGAAAAAAAAGTACTTGGATATTATAAGACGGCCTCTTCTTATAATATAGTAAACTATTTATATCTAATAATATAATAATACCCGAGATATTCCTATATATTACCCTTATTTAGGAGGCATATATATAGCCTCTAATAGGATATTTAGAATAAGCCAAGCTTTAATAGCTTCTTTAAGCCTACTATTACTAGCCAGGCTAAGATATAGATATTAATTAGTATAAGAATAACTATTATACCTACTAATAATCCTATATTCCCAGAGATAAGAAGCTAGGGCTTTTATATCCGTTACTAGTTCTTAATTACTTCTAGTAATATATATTAGTAGATTTTAAAAAGTGCCTAGAAAATAGGAATAAGTATAATATAATAGTAATCTTTATTAATTACTTAGGCAAGTGCCCTATTATAATTCCCGTTCGAGATATAGTAATAGTTAAAGAATTAGTACCCCTATTTCTTACTTATATAGTTTATTAAATTAGTATTCCGGAGATTATAATATCTAATTAAGGCCCCTAGTTTATATTAGATTTCTGGAATGAGTTCTATAAATATATTAGTATAAAGCTCAAGTTATTAATTACTAATTATCCCTAAACTAATAACTAAATAGAGATTATTAACTAGTATTTTAACTAATAGTTATATTCCTATATAAATTACTACTAGGATAATTAGAACAAATAGGTAATAATAATTAATTACTAGTAAGTAGCTCTAGTTTATAAGACTATAGGCTAATTCCCGTTCCTTATAAAGAAAGGCTATAAACCGTAAATATTATTTAACTAGGAAACCCAAGTATAATTAGGTACCCTAAAGGAAAAGCTAAATAAGTAAGAAGTAAAGGCTCTAGTAGTATGGCTCTATAAATTATAGTAAAGAATATAAGAGAATATAATATAAGTATAAGAGTACTATATTACCTAAACTAATAAGTACTACTAACTAGTAAACTTTAGAGTAGGAGATAAGATATAAATTACTACTAAGTACTAGAAGAATAACTATCCGAGCCGCAAGCTAGCTTACTAAATAGAAGAACTATATGAAATCCTGGAATAAGTAAGATATTTCTTTAGGCTTAAGCTTCCGGAATTAATAAGAATATATCTAGTATTTTATATAAAGAAGCTATATAAGAATCCAGGTAATCCTCTTTCCGGACAAGCGAATCCGGAGTCTTTGCTATTAGAACTATAAGACGGAGAAACGGAATACGAAGTTTAAGAGATACTAGTAATAAAGCTATTTTATAGGAAGCTTAAGTACTAAGTCTAGTAAAAAGAATAGGATCCAGATCCGGAGTAGTATCCCGTATTCTTATTAAGTAATAGTACCCTGGCTCTTTAGAGCTTTTATAACAAGAACCCCGAATAGCTAGGACTGCCCTAGAACCTCCCCTATTAGTTAGATTATATCAAGAATAATATATTACCAGAACCGTATAATACGGACGGAAATCCTTGCAAGTTATATATAAAAGACCCTGGCCTTTTATATATAACTGTAACTTGAGAATTAGACAGGGACTTTTAAAGCTCGGGAACGAGCTTACTTTAAGGGGGGGGAGGGTAATATTATAATTATTATAATATACGGTACTAGTAGGGGTTAGACTAGAACTAAGAGAGGCATCTGGTATCTAAGCGAGATATTTATAGTTACCTAATTATTGCACGTGACTCCGAGCTTAAGCTAGTATATAGGCCCGTATATAGCTTGCGATTATTTAGATCCGAAGCTTCTTTGAGATTCTTTTCTCTCTTTAGCTTTAAATTATTGAAATAGAGACAGTCTAACTATACCTTCCAGGCCCTAGATCTTATACTCATAATAATATATTAATTAATTATATATATAATATATTAATTAATTATATATATAATATATTAATTAATTATATATATTAGAAATAATAATATTTTATTTCTTTTATTTAATTTATATTAGAATTTATTTATTATTATAAATATAATATTTAGAACTTAGAAAGTAAAATAGAAAGTTCTTTATAAAAATAATTCAAAGTTAAAGAAAGGAAAACTAGAATATAAGAAGCTATAAAGAGTATATATATCTTATAATATACTAGTTCCAAAGGAGCTAGCCTTCTAAATATTTCTAGTATATTTCAAATATATTTCTCTAGTAAGGCGGCCGTATTATATATATCTAAGAGATATCTGGCATCTGGCTAGGTATCTCAGATACCGGGTATTTGAGAATTATAATATTTATTTATATATTTAATTATTACTTCTTTTATTATTTTCTAATTTATTAATAAAAACTAATTAAAATATTATAAAGTTCTAAAAATAATACTATTAATATATTTTTAGTTCTTTATTTCTTTATATAGCTATAATCTTTAATTACTTTTTTATAATTTTAATTCTTTAAAGAACTCGAAAAATAAATAATTAATTAATTTTAATATTATAAATATTATATAAAAACTTAATAACTTTATTTTAATATTACTATAGCTTCGTTTTTAAGAAATATTTTATAGCTTGCTTTATTTTTTATATAATAATATATTTAGTATTATTAAAAGAAAGCTTAAATAATTAATTTATTATTAGATATCTTTTATAATAATATTATAATAGATATATATAATAATATATAAACAGGTATTAGATATTATAAATCTAGTTTCCTATTTTAAATAAAGCTTATAATTGGAATTATATGAATTATAGGAAATTATATTTCCTAATTAAATAAAAGGCTTTATATATTTAACTAAATACTAGGAAATATATAAAGAAATACTTCTAGCTTTAGAAAAAGATATTAATTAGTCTTTTATTAGAATTAATTCTTGGAATTAGTTATATTTATAAGTATTATTCTATAATTTATTTATTTTAATTATTTATATATTATTTTACTATTATATATCTTATAAATATATTATTTAAGCTATAATATTAAAATTATATAAGCTATTAAATAAATTATATAAAGCTTTAAAGCTCTATATTATATAAAATATATTTAATTTAAGTAATAATTATTATAGCTAAATAATTCGATATAATAATAATAAATTTATTTAGAAACTTTTAATATAAGTATTTTCTATTAATTTAGTTAATTAATTTTATAATTTTAGGTTATAGTTATATAATTATAATTTAGTAAAATATATAATATGGCTAAAATTGCATTTTATTAAAGTTTATTTAAAAATATAATTAAAACTATTATTTCATATATTATTATAATTATTTAAAGTATTTTAGCTTTTACTAAAAGAGCTATCTTTTAAAAGCTATTTCCTTTTTAAGAAATTGCTTTCTTTCTCCTTTCTCTTTTTTAGGAAGCTATTTCTAAAGAGCTCTTTATATATAATATATAAAAGTTTTTTGAGAAATAGCTTATTATAATATATAAAGAGCCTTTTAAAAAAGGCAGCTTTCTAAAAATAGCTTCTTAAAAGGCAGTTCCCTTGAAATAGCTCGCTGGGAGTAGCTTTCTTGGGATAGCTTACTATAATATATAAAGGGCCTCTTAGGGGCAGCTTACTATAATAATATATAAAGAGCTTTCTAGAGGGCAGCTTTTGGGAGGGGCGGGGGGCAACTTCTGGGAAGGGGGGCTCTCTGGGGCGCAGCTTACTGCAATATGTAAAGAGTTCCCATTAATAGTAAGTGCAAGTCCCAGTATAATTTTCGTGTAATTCCAAGCCTAATTTTAAGTAGCATGCGATTCGTAGCTTTGAATTCTATGATTTTGGTGTTCTGGTACTCGAGTATTTTGACCACTTACCGCCTCAAATCCTGCCCTAAGGTTCTCGTCACGGCAGACCTAGCTAACCATAATCTCGACTTTTGGAGAGAGAAATCATGTCTCGGACAACGCACTTGTGAGAAACAGAAAAAATAACAGTCACTAGTCCGCGAGGTTAAGACTCAACGTTTCCATTCATGAGATTGCTCAGGGTGCAACACGTTGTCCGAGGTGACCAATGACGGTCACGCCCTTCTCTACGAATTCTCTCGATTCTGGCCAGACCTTGATCAAATCATTGATCCCGTCGTCCTCCTCGGCAAGCTGAGCTATAGGGCGATACATAATTGGCTTCTTGTCGGCGAGGCAGACCTTCAGGTCAACGGGGAGGTAGCCTTTCCCTTGTAAGTCAGCATTAGCCTCGCTGTACTTCATGAGGACTGAACAGGGGCGATTCGCCAGCAGAAAACGCTTCCTTGCCCTAGGCATCCATAAATTTGAAAGCGTGCACGCTGTGTCATTGCTCAGTGGCAAATAAATACGGGCACAGGGGCTTGTGAATCTCGGCAAAGAACTTGTCTATTTTGTGGTTCTGCATGCCTTTGAACTGCGCAAGGAAACTTCCACCCGTACACAAAGCAAAACCTGGAGCTGTGTTCATAATATGTTGCAGTGTTTTTGGCCATCTTTAGCTAGAATGAACGGATTGCGAAGCTACGTAGGTTCGCATCGGTGTCGCTGTCCGGGATATCCTTGAGTCCTTTGCCACGGCTCGATTTCGTGATTAGAGGAGCGGAAGGTTGGTTAAAAATTGAAGCTTCAGATATGGACGCAGGTTCGATGGTATGGTGTGTACTTTCTGGTGTATAGTGTACCCCTATTAACATTTAGCGAGCAGCGATATCTTGGTTCGCTTACAGACTAATGTGATTTCTGATCATGCTTTTGTACGTAATCTAATTACACGTGGAATCACGTAAGCTCGTTCGAGCCTATTAAAGGCCCCGAACGTGCTAGGAATGGAAACGTTACGTCCTTTTTAACCTTTCCAATCACACTAACTTCATTCCAAAGTCAGCTGCGACTCCTCCCTCCTGGTATCTATTTAGCCAAGATGTCCTTCCCAAGGTTCCTGTGGATGGAAGTCAAAGAAATCAACTGCATCTGAGAGTCTGACGACAAGTCACAGAATTGGAAAACCAGAGCAAAAAGCCCGAGGGACACCATCAAGCCCTTAATCAACATGAGGGACACCACCAAGCCCTTAATCAACACGAGGGTCTTGTGGACATTTCAAACTCGCTCTCCTAAGATACCAAGGTTCATTGCTGTAGGGCTCGCTTTCGGCCTGTTGGGAATTTTCCTGTTCGGAGAACAGAGAAGACTGAACCGGTGGCCCCAAATCATTCTCAACATGTCCCCTTCCCGGTCTGGAGATAATCCCAGGCCTGGAGATGCTGACGCCATCAAAGGACGATATCCGCTGGATTGCGCCGGAGTTGCCGGAGAGCTCAGAAAAAAACATTGGCAGAGCAGGTATGGGCATAGAAGAGGGCTACAACCTATGAAGTTGAAATTTCCTATCTATATCACTCAACGGCTTAAGGACGAAAAGACCTTGGGCCAGCAGCGGCGTCTCTATAGGAGGTCCCTGAAATGGGATCACTCAGACGTAGTGAGAAACTGAGAAGACGAGAGGGCTGTCTTTTGGATGAGAGGCAACTCGTCAGACTTGGTCAAGTGCAAAGGGGCTTCAACAAAAACGCGAGATAGTCTACTGTAAAGCGAACGCATAATCTGAACCCTTCTCGCTACGCTTTCAGCTTTCTCTCAAGTAGTCCTCCACAAAGAAGGCGCCGCCTAACAGCACAGCGCTTTGGTCTCGTATGCCGGAAATCTAGGAGTGGCCCAGAAGGTTCTTGTTGCCAAGGGGGACTCGTGCCCCCTACAGTGCCCTCTAGTCCGGTGGATGTAATGTGTGCCGTGTATCGTGGATGCTGTGGCGGCTGACGCTTAAGGAGCTTGAGAGACGCTGTCTTGATTGGGGGGGGGGGGGGGGGGCTCTTGGGCTTTGTCGTTTATTGGTATCGTGTGTGCTCGGAGGAGTAGTAGTAACGTAACATCTAACGCGGTAGTCAAGTGCCTCGTGAGATGTGTGATGTGGCAACTCTAGGCTTAGCGATAGAGAGTTTGCGAGCAGCAAGTAAATTCGGTGTAAGGAGTGACGATTCAGTCGTCTTCGGAACTAAAGCAGTGGGCACACAGACATGACGGTCGCTTTCGAAGAGAGCGGAATCGGACGAGCTAGCGAGAACGTCAGCCTTCGAGATCTCCAGGTATCGTGTTAGAACCTGTGAGTTGAAAGCTAGCAAAACTTCTAGAACAAACCAAAGATCAATTGCTCATCTTGATATTAGCTTACAGGGCACAGGTAGCAATGGCACGAACGAGCTTTTTGGCTCTGCCGATTCGAATCGTCCAGGTCTCCCAGATTGCAAGTACAGCGTTAGAATTTTGGGTGAGAAGTGAAGAATTTCCGCACGCACCAGAGATGCGGTGCTTCTTGCTTCTCCAAAGAGGCCAACCCCAAACCCAAAGCAACGCGCAACGGAAAGCCTTGATAGGAGCAAGGATTTGTTATTTCATTCTTTGTCGATAAGTGATATTGAAATGACGTTTGCCGGTACCCTCGAGCTTCAAAACTCTGCCTTTATCGGCTCACTAGAAGATCTCTTCTCTGGACCACCTCCAGGTTTATCCTCAAAAGGTCTGGAAGGTTGAAGAACCTTCCAAGATGAATGATCAGCCCGCCTCGAGGAACGTTGGCTTTTCTTGTCCACCGCGAGGGGGAAAGCCTTTGGTCTCAAGGGAATTCCGACTTAAGATATTTTCACAGACATGATCACATAAAAGTGATAAATATGTAGAGAGTTGTAGACAATCAATATGATGCTGACCTCTCACGCACTGTATCTATACACGCAAGTAGGCCACCCCCGCCCTTATTCAATCCCAATTTCATTCCCCCACTCCCACCCATTCTCTCCAATTCTTTCCCATCCACCCAGTAAACCCCATTCTTGCCCACCACAATGCATACGCATATACATAAATACAAGAATCCAAACTGCAACAAGACTCGCACGCGAAACAATTGCAACAGACCGAATCAGAAGCAGTTGTATATCGAACAAGGTATCTGATGACTCGGTAGAGAGGAGTACAAGACTATTAAATAAGTAGTAATATGCCGCGCACAACAGGTAAAAAGAAAAGTTGGAAGCCACCAGCTACTAAAAAGACAGGGCAGAAACAACACAAACGGGTGGGCCAGCCAAGAGATGTGTGCGTGCGAGATTAGGGCGCTAGATGCGCGGAGGTATATGAAGAGGCGAGGAAAAAAGATGATGAGATGACGACGACCCGATATGCCCAGCCAAGCCAAGCCAACCGAACCAGACCAGCCCCGTATTGTTGCCCGTTACCCTGAAGCCAAATCCAACCTGTAAAACGCTATATGCAATGACAAAGGAGATGATGTAAGGAGATGAAGGAGATGAGAGGGATATCAGAGTCTATGTAATTTAGGAGAGAACAAAGGAAATCATGGAGCTCGTTAAAAAAGGAAGAATAGCAATTTTTAGTACACGCTGTCTTCGTTGTCATCTGCGCCCTGCGAGATCATCGAGGGAGTAGAGACGTCGGAGACTTCGATGTCGTCTTCGTAGCCGATGAGAGCCTGAGAGTGGAGACGGAAGGAGTCGCCCATGAGTTTGGTGATTCTATTTTATGTTAATATTCATCTATTTCACTAAGGATGGAAAGGACCTACCCCCAGACAACAACCTCATCAAGCATGGAACCCCAAAGACGAGCGACAGTTGAGCTAAGCTTGGAGCCATAAATCTCAACATGGTCGTCATCCAGGAGATCCCGCAACTTGTTGTACATGACCATTTCCTCGTCAGTGGCGGGCTCTTCGTCATGTTCCAGACGATAGAGCCAAAGGCTGAGGATGACCATGAGATCAAGACCGCAAAGCGGGTGCTCGATGCTCCAGTTGGTGGCAGACGTGCGGGCGACCCAGCGAATGCCTTGACGAGCTGCAGTTTCAATGCAGTTGTAGCATTCTTGGATGACCTTGATCATCTCGCTGGATCGCTTGACCTTGTCTCTGGCATTCGACATGGCGGCGGCAACTTCGTACGAGTCATGGTAACGAAGAGCTTCTTGAATCGATTTGAGATCCACCTCGAGACGGGCACGAGCGTTGCGGAACATGGCCATGGCATTGAAGATTAAGGGATGACCTTTGTGAGGGGCGCTGAGAGGAACGGAAACGCTCTCAGGTTCACAAAGCTCGAGTGATTTCTCCCAGGTCTCCAGGGCCAGGCGAAGCTTGTATTCCGTAACAACATCTTGCAAAGCCTCTGGACTGCGCTTGTGATACCAAACTTCGAGGAAGAGGGCGTTAATCATGACGCGAGTGGCAAAAGCACTGTAGCGTAAGGATTCTCCTTGGAAGAGGTTGTCATGAGCATCCATGAAGGAAGGAGCTTGACAGTTCTTGAGCTGTTCTGGCCAAGCTTCTTCGTCGACGACAGTCAGATTCCACATGGCCTCGGTTGAAGGCAGTTGGAGATCTTCAAATTCATTGAAGCTGATTGCAGGAGTGTGGTTGTAGGTCAAAGTCAAGAGACCAAAGAAGATGTAGACGGCGTAGTACGTTCGTCGGCAACCTTCATCCTCAACCCACTCAGCCCGAGTAGGACAGGCACCGTCACGAGCTTCCGTTCGAAGCTTGAGCTCGTAACGATTACCAGCGACCATGTTTGCGAGAAGACTCTTGATTGAGCAAGCCCATTCAAGACCCTTTGGATCACCGCTCCAGCTGGCGAAGATCATGTTAAGCAGCGAGCTTTGCATGGTCCATAGCGGGCACTTTCGCGAGCTGAAGTTCTCCTTGTTCTGCAAGAACTGGTTGACGAGAACCTTGGAGCCGATGTGGAGCACATACGCTTGATCTTGGTCAAAGGCATATAATGCACCGATTGACAGGACGGCCAGCAAGAGTGGCGAAGAGACCTCGGTCGGCTTGAAGGAAGCTGGATGCAAGAGCGGCAGATGGTGATGGAAGAGGCCGAAGTAAGTCGACAAATATCTGTTCAGCGAGGCCAGACCGGGCAGACGGAAACTCTCGGGGATTGCGCGCTCACCGTCATTTCTGCGAATGTTGTCCAGAATGATGTTGCGCTCATCGTCGTTGAGTACCTGAGGTGCTTTCAGGGATTGTTCGCCAGTGCGGGGTTGCTGCGAGGGCGACTGCTGGCTTGGCGTGGCGGTTCCCGAGGGAGGCAACGAGTTGATCATCGATTGCAGAGCAGGCACAAGGCCGTTATAGTTGGAGGCGGCCGACTTATTGATGGGAGGTAGCTGGTTGGGGTGATTCTGCATCGAGCTGGCTGTCGTGAATGAGGTCTGCGACTCCTGGGAACCGGAGGCTGCGGAAGCGATGGAGTGAGACTTGGGCTCTGTGACCGACTGCGGCATGAATTGATCCCACGGCACCTGGGGGAGCGAGATGGCTCCGTGAGGGTACGTGACGGAGGGCTCCATGAGTGCCGCGCCATGCGAGAAAGCCATTCCAGGTCTGTTCTCGTGTGGCTCGACGCCCGCGTTGCGCATGGCTGCCGTTGCTTTGTGGTGGAGGTCGGTCATCAACATCGCCGCCGTCTCGAGATCAACCATTCCATCGCTGCTGGCCTCGATCTGCTCGAGGGCTGATGTATCGATGGCGATGGCCGACTTTGAGGGGCCGGACATGGGGCCGGGCTTGGGACCTGCTCGTCGCTTCACGTCGCTGTGGAGAGGGATGCCCCCGTCTTTGGCGTGCACCGTTCGGTCATGTCGAAGCAAAAGATCGCGTCGCACGAAGGTACTTCTACACTTCATGCACTTGAAAGGGCGCTCCTTGGTGTCTGCGACGAGCAGTTAGCATTGAACGAGTGCATCGCGTATGCTATGGGGGGGGGTGGTGGATGCGCTGCGTCGCCAACAAGAATGTTCTGCACGCGACCCGGGCGAAAAGAGGGGAAACTGGGAGGAGGGGGAACATCAACATTGTTACTTACGAGATCTCTCGTGTCTGCTGCGATGCTCGCTCCTCGAAAAGGCGCGGTTGCAGAACTGGCACTTGTACTTCTTCTCCGGCAGCGACGATTTCCTCATCTGCGACGATGATGCCGTCGGCAGGACGTTCATGGCGGCGGCTGGCATGTTTTGGGGGGGGGTTCTCGGTTCGGGGTCTTGATGCTTGCTTTGCTGACTGGCTTGTCCTCTCCTCTCCTGTTCTTCCTCACAGAGCGATGGTAGAATCGTCTGGTGCGCGAGCGTGGGCGTAGGGTTCAAAGGGCGACTTGATTTCGTTGTTGTATGGTGTTCATTTGTTGTGGATTTCTTGTCATCGATGGAGGTGGTGGTGTAGTGTTGGTGGCCAGTCTCGCGACGGGGACGGACGGGTTCTCGCGTGGGCAAGAACAGCGTTCGCCGGTCGCGCTCGACAGGAGGATGATTAGGTGGCGGAATGTACGTCGCCAAGGGGTTGTTGAAGCTGGTATTAGATCGTCGACGGGTGATTATGTCGAGGTGATGGGTGTTGAAGAGGGGTTTGGAGTTGTGTGCAAAAAAAGAGAGGGGGGAACGAAGGAATGGAATGAAGGGGCAGACGAAAGGAGGAGGGATGGGGGAGGGATGGGAGCGGGAGTGGCAGTGGGAGGAAGTGGGTGCGGTGCGGTGCGGTGCTGTGCTGCGCTGGTGCTGCTCGGGGGAAGTGAAGTGTGGCTGTTTGGTGGGATGGGGGAGGGGAGGGGTGCAGGTCAGGGAGCGAGTGGTGTGGTGGCCGTGGTGGCCGTGGTGGTTGGTCGTGGTGGACTCGCGGTGGGTGGTCGTCGGCCAGAAGCGACACGAGTGGGCGCCGCGGCCAGACGAGACGAGGGAGGAGGCGAGCGACCAGGTTCGTCTTCGAGAAGAAAAAGGAGATGGCGGGGCTTGCACGAGCACGAGCAGCAGAGCAGCAGAGGAGCACATCCCTTCCTCCCTCCCGGCTGCTCCCCGTTAGGGCGGCACGAGCGCCAAGGAAAAACTGGTGCCGACCGAGTGGACACGCCCAGCCCCCCCCTACCGTGAGGCGTGGAGGGCCCGTGGACGAGATACCTGCGCCTGTGAGCTTTATTCAGGACAGTAAGTACACTTCCAACGACTCAGGAGTCAGCACAAGCACGACTACGACTACGATTAAGGCTACGGCTACGGCCACGACCACGAGCTGGAGCCTGCAGCGCTGTCCCCGAGCACAGCAGTCCTCCGCCGTCGCGACTTTGCGTGCGCATCCAGGAACAGTGCTTCGTTACATCGCTGTGTTCAGTGCTCAAGTGTTCACTGTTCATGTTCACTGCTCAGTGGTGTTTGCAACTTGAGTCTCTTCACGTGCATCGCTCGCCGCCGTGCATTGCGGTCTCGATGTACGTACCCAAGACAGTGTACGCGAGCGATGGAGGGGTTGCCATGAATCCGTGATGATCTGCTTATGCGAAACCATGATAGAGGGGCACACGAGATTGCCAAACTTCCATCCGTTCGTTCATCGATGCGGGTGGAGTCGTCTGCGGCGCTGACTGCAGTGTACCCAAATACAGGTGCTGAGCAGATGGCCTGAAAATAGTGTCATCGTCTGAAGGAAAGGGGGTGGTGGCGACTGAGGCTGTGATGTGTGACAGGGCAGCATCATCATCAACGCAGCACTGGACGTGAGGACGTGAGGACGTGAGGACACGAGGACGCGAGGACAGGAGTCCAGGACGTGAGGCACCGAGGATGAATGGCCCACGAAGCAGGAACATCCCACCAACATCCTGAAGCCCTTCACACGGCAAGCGAAGGGGGCAAAGGGGGCAAAGAGGGGTTTGCGAACTCGCGTGGTACCTGGGATGCCTTGTCGATAAAATCTCTGCTGCCGTGCAAATAGTTGACGGAAATATAGGTAGTATGGTGGTACGGTGGTACAATGGCACTGTACACGTTCTTTTGCTGCAAGGGGCCTTCTCGTGCAGGCTCGCCATGGAAAACCAACGCTGGCGGTCGAAGAAGGAAGCCTCTTGCGTATCTCGGCCCATCTGTGTGTTGAAGGCTTCGAAGGCTTTGACGCCTTCAAAAGCAAGCAAGCAAGTACAGTACCGATGTACTCCGTACTAGTGCCGTCTTGACGATTGCTTTTAACTACAGTATCCTGTCTGTCAAAATTGAGCCCCCGTTACCCCTCGCGGCTGATCCGCCCACCTTCACATCAGCGGGCGGCCCGAGGATCTTTTTCATCTCATCGCCAGCCCTCGCGACCGGTTCTGGCTTCTCGTCATGTGAAGAGCGGGGAAAGCCTGGGAATTCGGGACATTCACAACCCCTCATACCCCTCCCTCTCAAGGGCGTTCAAACACTCAAACACTCAAGCACGCAAACCCACCAGTTTATGCCTTCACGCGCAACCTGACTCGATGAACTAGGTCGCCTTTGCTGACGCCTGCTCACCACCCCGCCGTACCTCACCGCTCAGATCACTGCATTGACGCGTTACTGCGTCTGCGCCTGCTTGTGTTCATGCAGTTCGAACGCAAGTCGTTCTCCAACATCCATTCGGGGCATCCACCATCGCACAACCCCGCTGCTTTTGGCCGCCCATGATACTTCCGCTTCCGTGCATTTCCCATACTCGTCGCGAGATCATTGGACGTTGGCCTCCGAGACGCGCGACACGTTCCCCTCAAAAAGAAAGCTTTCAGGATTTCACAGAGCTCACTTTAACTGTATTCGAAGCCCCTAACTCTGCGACATCGTCATTATCCTCGCTGCTTTTCGCTCCCTCTTTCCGCGTCGTGGAAGCCTGTCGAGTCCTTCTTGGGCTTAGGAGATCAACGACCTCATCAAAAGGCCCCTCTCCTCGATCCGTCGCTGCTGCAGTCGAACGCAAACGAATACTGCCAGGTACAAGCCCACCCCAGAGCAGTTCAGCTCCACTGTCGCATGGGAAGGGGTGTGGTGGGCTGTGGGCCACTGGTGGCAAACTGGCTGCTACTGTAATTATTAGGTGGGTTGGCCCACGAAGCTAGGAAGCGCTTCCCCGGAGCCGTTGATATAATTATCCTGGCCTCAAACCTTGTGGGTGTGCTCCCGAACGAGAGATTACCGTGCCTTTTGCAACGAAATTTTTTCACCGCAGCGCAGGGGGGTCGGGACGCAGCTCAAACGAGATGAGGGGCATTATTCGATGGATCCTGCGTGATGGGACGATTGTTCCTGGACGATCAGGACTCAGGAACAAACGCGCCATACATCATAGCGATGATCAGATCTCAATGGGATGATGACGGGCCAGATGAGAGACATCGAATGCGATCTCTCCTCCCGAACGGGAAAACGGGTCCACGGTGATATTCAGGGGAAGTCGGCCCAAAGTCTCAATTGCGGCACTGTGACTGAGGACTTCTGCAGCCGCCGGCATCTCAGGCTTCGATGCCCCTCATCGAAGCCTGCAAGGCTGCAACGTGCTTCCAAGCGTTCTATCGGGGATTTCTGATTCATTTGCCCATCTCGCCTCCCCCCCCCCTCCCCCTTTCAGCCCTCAAACCCGACACCTCATCTCGGCGGCCGATCCCCACCACTCCCTCGTCCCATGTAGGGTTGCTGGGTTGTATCGTTACCCGTAATAACGTAAAAAGGTTCCACCATTACGTACCGTAATGAGCTTTTATCGTTACAGCACGTGCTTTTTCTTAGGGGGGATTTTCGGGCTTTTCAGGGCTTTTAGAGGCCCTTTCTGAGATATTTTAGGCTTTCAAGGGCCTAAAATCAGGGCTTGCCGAGCTTATCTCGGCTAATTTAAGGGTGAAGAGCGAAGCAAGAGACTATACTATATTGGGAGATTCTTATTACTTTTCAGGCTTAGCTCGCCTTAACTCTCATACCTAATGAGGTTAGTATATTACATGACTGCTGCGAGTACAAGCAGTGGAGGGTCTTTGAGGTCTTTACAGTGGCGGCAATGGGCGAATTACGTGGGTTGTCCAGGTTTTTTTTTCCAGGGCTCCTTTTCAAAGGCTTCGTAAACCCAATTATGTTTAAGAGCATACTGAACGTTATTGCCTCCCATTTTGTCGATTATTTTGGTATTAATGGTTAATAATTAGGAGAGATGGAGAATTCAGGAGAGAGATTTTTTACTGCCGCTTGCTTACCGCTCACCGGATTAGGCTAGTACGTCACATGACTGTAATATAAGGTGTAAAATGCTTTTATCATTACATTACGGTGGTAATAATAATATACTTTTCTTTTACAATAAAGTAGCAACCCTAGTCCCATGAAATGATGAAATTGATAAATTGCCCGAGAAAGAACAAATCTCGGTATCACCATCGTAGACAGCGACTTCTAATTCGTCGTCCCGTTATAACCTTCTTGACTCACTGAGACATGCCTGTCCCCACCCTCGTAAATTTAATATTTTTATCAAAAAAAAATCTGAAACCTTGAAAGGACCCCACTCCAACTCGGCGGACCCAAGGATCAACGGGTCCCCGGGACGCTTGCCATCCAATCAATGCGTAATATTACGGGCAAAGATGGTGGCATTCCGGGATCCGGGAGACGGATTTCTGGGTCGGTGGTGGAGCAGGAGTTAGTAGTGGCGTCACTACTGGATGATGTTGATGAAGGACAGCAGTAGGTAGACTAGTAGTAGGTTCCCGGGCCTTCCGCGCGGATGGGATCCCGCGATTTTGGGGGGATCTTGACTCTTGACTGGATCTGGCTGGCTTTTTGATGAAGTGTTTTCCCTGGGTCGGAGGGGTCCGAAATTGGCTGGTTAGAATTATTTTTTTGTTTGCTGTTGGAGGGGCAAAGGCTTGATAGGCTGCGGCAGTCCGATGGGTTGGGAACGATTGATGGGGGGGAGTCGAGGGAGAAGGAAAGGCCCGCTCCTTCGGTACCGGAAAGGGGAGGGAAGGTTTCAACTTTCAAGGAAGTGGAGGAGGCTCCATTATTTGGCGCACGCGTTCAGGTTTATCTGATCTTTGGCTTCGTCCCTGAGTGAAGCAGCGGAATTTATGAAAACGCGAAGAGAAATTGTGCAGGTTCTGGAGCACAGATTTTGGTTGGTGAATTGGCAGTTCCTGGCACAAATGAGGCTGATTGGGTGGGGGCTGCAACACAAAGCCTCACGATACCCCTTCAGCCTTGACCCCGCGATTCTGGATGAAATCTGCCCCTGGATTGCACCTCTCATGTGAAGGATGCATGAATTGTAAATCATTATGATGATAATAATCAAGCCCGGTGTAATCATATCATGATCAAGTCGCCGAATATATACTGCATTAAGCACTATATGAAGAGCGTATAAAGCGTGCATAATTCGTCACGTGGAACGGAGTAAATTAATGGACTTGATTGTTGGGGATCAATACGAAACCGCGCCAGTCAAATAGAGCATTCTGATTGGCTATAGGTCACATTATGGCATATCTGCACAATAATAGCAGCGGCCGCATAAGCAGGTGCAAATGCAAAGAATAAAAGCTGGATTTCTCTATGAGAAGGACAGGAGGAAAGCAATATAAGACAAATGTTTGAAGTCTTAGGGGGGGGTCCCCGGCCCCCAACTCCCCCGGATATAAAAGCCGCAAGAGAGAGATTCTTTTAATATACTAAGAGATAAGATCACAGGCTTTAATCTTGGGGGAGACCCTCCCATACGCCTCTGGCGGTTAAATATTTTCCCGGATCATGTAACGGGAGATTTCCATACCAGCCACCTACCTAGCTTCGCTTTCGACAAGTCAAAAAATCTTACTTTTAATAATTTCAGCATCCCTACTCATGTAGAGTCTCGGAGGCTGACAGGTAAAAAGATACTTTTGATGGGGTCGGGTCAAGGCGCGCACACCAACCGTCGGTCACACACGTGAAGCATGTCCAACTGCCTCTTTCGTTGCCCCTCACAATTATCGTTGAAGCTTCGGAAGTATGATCCGCGCTGGAATCCGCTTCAATAATCCGTACTCGCTCGATGTTCTTCTTATCGGATCTGAGCGGACGGAGCGTTCTCGAAGCGGAAGGTTCTTCGACCGCGACCTCCATCTCCCAAAAATCTCAGGAGGGGAGAAAAGCTCGGGTCTCATTTGCTAGGGGTAGCTAGCAGACAGAGATTACGTTACACAAACGTGCCCGCGAGGGCCGTTATCAGGTTTCTGCACTCTGGGAAGATGGGGACTCGGGAGAGAAACGTTGCTTGTTATCGATATCTGAGTTGCTGGGAATCTTTTTGCAGCGGGGCTGGGCCCTCCCACGCTCGAGTGTGGTTGCGGTGGCGGCTGAGGAATAATAGGGGTAAAGAAAGACACGTGCGCCAAGGGGCTCAGCTGCTGCCGTTATCCGTATGCTGTGCGATGGCGTATGGTGTCGGATTGCGGTGTGAGGTTTATTTTTGATATTTGCTTGTGGGAGGTCTCGGGATGGTGGTTGGTGGGTTGGTGGGTTGGCTGTTGGCTAGGTGGGAAAAGTAAGTGGCCGTTGAACGGGAGGCAGGGTGGGGGTGACTTTGGTGGGAGTGAGATGTGGATTTGGATCTGAGAAGTTAGAATGGTGACTGCAAGACTTTGAAGCTTCTCCTGACAAAGCAGTCTTGCTCTTGCTGGATACCGATATCCCAGTCCCAAGCCCAAAGTATCTTTTCAATCGTGGGGCCGAGCCTGCTCTGGAGAATGTAGACGGCCCGAATTGGACGACGGAGCCAGAAGATGCAAGAGGTTCGGTTCGGGAAGGACGGGTCAGCTGCTTGACTAAGGGGCAACGGTCGCTGCACACGACAAACTTCTACTGTGTGATCGGTCACTTTCTCATTGGTCCCAGATTCTCACTCTGTTAAAATCCGGTTCATCGACTGCGCTGCATAGTGGTGGCAAACCGAGATTTTGGTCACGTGATCAGCGTCAATTTTCTCTCTTCTCTCTCAACCATTCCAGAGGCTCTTTTGGGCTACCGTACTTACCACGCGGTTTACCAGTCACGGATATCATGCGCAGTCTCATCTGACATGGCGAACTATACTTGAATCGAAGTATGGGCGGCACATTGGTCTGCAACCACCAGAAAATGCGGAGAGAGGTGACCCCTGGGCGAGCTCCCTCATAAACCCCTGCATAACTTGAGTCCTTTCTCCTTTGAGATTTATGCATTAATTCGCCGAGCAGAATCGAGGCCGATTGGCTCGCAAAAACCGCTTGAAAGGTACGTTGTGGTGTTCGTGGGAGAAAAGGTAGATTTATTGTGCATAATGAGGGGTCCCCTCCTCCACATTTTTCGGGCTTGGGAGTAGAACATTCTTCGAACACGCAGGCCGCAGACCGCGGCCCTTCTCTGATCAATCGAAGAAGAAGAGGCTTGTGAAGAAATCCCCGGCCGCACGGGAATCTGCACGCTCAACTGTACTTGCTCTGCATGTCCTCCTAGACTGTTGCTTCTATGAGGCTTGCTGGAGAATTGAAAGTACGTACTGTCGTTCTCACTCCGAGCTGAGAAGACCCCATGATCCTGCTGTGACGATTGATTGCGCCATATTTATTGGGGCATTCCTCCAGGTCCAAGGAGGCTCCTGGTAGTCAGCGTGGCCGGCTCGCACAAAGGTCTCCGAGTGGCCTCTCCCAGTTACTGACGTTGGTTGGGATAGTTGGTTGCACATATGATTGACTGGAGGCCTGCAAGACATCGAGGGGTCTCGCCGGCTGGGGGGGAAGGGGGGTTTTGAGATGATCAAGCATCAGTCTATCAACTAGACAGAGCTCGCAGACAGGCTTTCAGGGGCGCGCTCCGGTGGTCTCAGCCTTGGCAGGATCGCGCTGCCAGGCGTGTCGATCAGCGGGCAGATAACAGATGTCGTAACTTGTCAGATGAGAAAACGAGGCGGTGGTGTAGGCGGTGGTGCTGGCTTAGGTGCTGGCTTTGGAATTCTAGTTCATGGTAGAAGTGTCTCTCTTCACTACTTCGTCTACTTCTACTATGCCTCACATCCCTTCCCCTCCTGCCCCTCGCTGGACCATCGCCTGGCCTGGCCTGGCCTGTCTGGCTGGCTGGCTGGCTGGCTATCAATCTTCTGCCAATCCAGCGCCAGCCCCCTTTTTGGCTCTAGCTCGGCCAGGCCCCCCTCGCTAAGTGAGCTGCGAGCTGCGGCTTTTCTCACCACTACTGCACCAATCTCTCCCGACTGGGCCAACCGCCTATCGAAGAACGCCGCCGCCGCCGCCGCCGCCGGGTCCACACACGTTTCCCCAACACCAGAGGCAGATCAGATCAGATCAGAGCCGGGGGCCTCGTGCTGTGTGAAAGTCCTCTCTCTCTGCCTGCGGTGTCTGTCTGTCAGTCGTCGACCAGTAGCAGCAGAAGGCACTCCCACGACCAGGTCAATCCTCTCGCCCCGGTCTCTCTTCATCCATATCGCCCCCAGGCCAGATCTCTCTTCATCGCCCTTCGAACATCGAGATTGAGTAGAGTGAGTGAGTGAGTCGAGTCAGCGTCCGTGGCCCGCCATTGAAACGCCAAAACCCAAACCTCCAAGCACAAGCACAAGCACAAGCACAGGCAAGCACAAGCAAGCACAAGCAAGCACAAGCACCTCCTCCCCCAACATTCCGCACCGCCTCTCCTCCACCAACCGCCCCTCCTTGGAGCCTTCTCCTGAACGCGGTATCGAGCAATCAATCCTGTCCTTCCCGCTCCCCGCAGGCTGCTCTTCTCCTCGGCCCCCCCCCCCCCTCTCCACTCTTCACTGCACCGCATTGCACTCAACTCCTTCCTTTCCCATATTCGCCGTCCGCCTGTTAGCGACATTCATGATCAGCTAGGAAACCCGTATGCTGCTGTGACAGCCAAAACTCAGCGAATTGTGTCGACTCGCTGCCCGTTACCCGCCCACACAGAGCCCGCCGACCACTCACGTCGCAATCTTGAACAAAGTCCCAATATAGCAAATCACTCTTTTTTCCCTGCCCCTCTATACCTATACGGCTCCATCTGCGATAACTTCTCCACGCGCGACGATTTACGACCGGTGCCTCGACTCTGCAACGCCAAAAAAGAAAAGGAAACGGTTCGAGCGATGAATTGATCCGAGCCGGCACCACGGACAAACATCATCATGCTTATGACACTCCGAAGCAACGGCATCTTTCCTGACCAGCAGAATCCGCAATCCATCGATCATTACACCGCGAGCCAGATCGCGGAGACGGTTGTACAATACACAAACGAAAGCCCGCTACGATCTTCGACGGCAAATCGCTCCAACGGACAATATTCCCCATCTTCGACATCATTTGCAACTGCACAGAGATCGCGGGCTGCAGCGACGCGACGATCACCGCCTCTGATGAACGGACTTGGGAACGCACCTCAGCCGCAGATGTACGTGCGAGCGCTATACGACTACGAAGCGGACGATAGGACGAGCCTGAGTTTCCACGAGGGAGATGTTATCCAAGTCATCACGCAGCTGGAAAGTGGTTGGTGGGATGGGGTCATCAATGGTGTGCGAGGCTGGTTCCCGAGCAATTACTGTCAAGTGATTACGAATCCGGAAGAAGTCTTGGAAGACCAACAGAATGGATTGGGAGGAGACGCGGACGACGAAGAGGTCGACGAAGAAGAGGAGGACCCTGAGTATGACGAAGAACAGTACGATGAGGATGAGGGGGATTCTGAACGAGATGATCTGACACAGTTACCGATGGAGGGGGCGAACAATAACGACCGGACAAGAGCTGATTTCTGGATACCGCAAGCCACCCCTGATGGAAGATTGTTTTATTTCAACACGGAAACAGGTGAGGCTAGTATGGAACTTCCGTTAGAATCGCCCTCCTCCGCCACGGAGAATGGGCCCCGAGATCGGATGAATGTCAACATTCCAGAGAAGACCAGACCTCCACCAGAGATGATGGTAAACAGAGGCTACATGCAAGATGATGATGACGACTCGGACGGTAATTCTGCTTCGGAATTGGATGGAGAAAATCTTATGCTCGCTTCTAGAAGTTCATATGTAAGTTTCGATGCATCATACTTGCTGCGGCTGCTAACTCGACAGCCACGAAAGCGCCGGTCACTTGTCTCTGATGGTGTATCGCCTGCGACGTCTATGGATTCCATCAACGGGATGTCTCCCATCACTCGCTCTCGAACCGACCCCTTCTCTGCGAATCTATCCATGGTCACCTCCATGCCAATCATGGGGCCCTCCACAACCTCCTTTACCAACACTGCACTTGGCCCACCACATGCTGCTTCGCTGCCTCGGTCTTTCTTTGATGATGGCTCTGCTGCACCATTAACTTGGAACAGACTCGTTGCCAACATGAAGAAAGCTGTCGACCGATACAGAGACGCAATCAACAACAGTGAGCGATCGGAATATGTGCGCCGAGCCGAAGATATCTCGGATCATCTCCGATTGCTTCTTGCTGCCGGATCAAGGACCACAGATAATCACTCTGGTCAACCGTCTATCATATCCACAAACAAGGCGTTATATCCTCACTTCCGAGACATGATGTCGAAGTTCTCAAAATTGGTTATATCTTCACACATTGCTGCGGCCGATTGGCCAAGTGCAGAATCATATCAGAAGTGTCTGGCAGAGGCAGAAGGTGTTCTTCAAGGAGTCTTTAGCTACGTCGAAGTTGCAAGACAACAACGGGGCGAAGATATTCCTCGACTCTTGCCTGGATTCGTCATTGGTAGCACTACAGGAGGCAGCTGGCAGAATAATGGCCTTGGTTCCCGAGATCCATTGACCTCGAACTTCTTGGATGAAGATGAGGCACTTATAGAGCCTTCTGCAACGCTGGATGCCAAGTTGACAGAGCGCCTGGACGATCTGAAGCGCATGTTGATTTCAAGTATTAGAAAGTTGGAAGAGCATCTGGTCGTCACCGAAAAGATTATTACGCCTTACAGACACGAGCTCATTGCAAACAATGTCTGTTCGGCAGCTAAGAAAGTTCTAGAGATGTTCAAACCGTGGGTGTCCACTGTCGAATCGATCAACCTGTCCGTGTTAGGGAACAGTTTTCAAAATCCTCAACTGGTCGATTTTGCATCATATAAGCAGAGCTTGTATGATAACATTTCGGATTTGTTGTTAGGCTGTCAATCGGTCGCAGGTCCTTTAGGAGACGAATGGGCAGAAGTCCGCGGCGAATCACTAGAAGGACGCCTGAATTATGTTCGCCAATGTGCGAAGCAGCTTGAGACGAATTCCTCGCAAGTCGGATTTTCTCTTCAGCTTTTGAGCGAGCAGGTACAGATGGCGCCGCAGCAGGATCCACCACCTCGCGAAGATAGCAGACCGCGAGATACTCGGAGAACCGAGTCATCCTACGAGCAATCTCACCAACGAACCACTTCTCGCGTTAACCCCGTTTTACAGAGGCCAGGGTTAGCAGCCATTGGACAATCACAATCATACTCAGAAGGGGATCCAGCTGCGAAGTACCGCCCGGGAGAGAATTCAAAGGTACTGAAGTTCTTCGGAGAGGAGCCAAACAATCGCAGAGATCAACCACAACAAGATGAAACCCCTGATTCCCTGAAACTCGACCACGAGGATGATATTCAATACGATATGAAAGTTCAGCCGCCTCAACTCAAAGGTGGAACATTGCTCGCTCTTGTTGAGCAACTCACTCGCCATGACAAGCTGGATTCAAATTTCAACAATACCTTCCTTCTGACTTATCGTTCTTTTACTACCGCTCGCGAGCTTTTTGAACTGCTGGTAAAACGTTTCCAAATTCAACCACCTGAAGGCATGGCTTCAGCCGACTATGAAATTTGGAGGGACCGCAAGCAGAAGCCAATTCGATTCAGAGTTGTCAATATCTTGAAGAGTTGGTTCGACAACTTCTGGATGGAGGACCAGAGCCCCGAGACGAAGGCCTTGATTCGAGATGTCTACACATTTGCCAGGGACACGGTCAAGACAACTGAGACACCCGGCTCGGGTCCCTTGATGACGGTTCTGGAACAGCGGTTGAAAGGACAAGATACGACTGCGAAACGTCTTGTCCTGACCCTGAGTCAAGCCACCCCAATGCCTATCATGCCAAAGAACATGAAGAAACTTAAATTCTTGGACATTGATGTCACTGAATTTGCACGCCAACTGACAATCGTGGAATCGAAGCTTTATGGAAAAATCAAGCCCACCGAATGCTTGAACAAGACTTGGCAGAAGAAGGTTGCTGAGGGGGAACCAGAGCCCGCGCCCAATGTCAAGGCTCTCATCCTACATTCCAACCAGTTGACCAACTGGGTTGCGGAAATGATATTGACCCAACTGGATGTCAAAAAGCGTGTGGTAGTCATCAAGCACTTTGTCTTGGTGGCTGATGTAAGTATTTCCAATCTGATGTATGTTCTATTATTGACCAATCGGCAGAAATGTCGTCAACTGAACAACTACTCAACCCTCACATCGATCATCTCTGCTCTCGGAACAGCACCAATCCATCGACTCAAGCGTACTTGGGATCAAGTTCCTCAAAAGACGTTGACAGTTTTAGAGTCAATGCGAAGGCTGATGGGCAGCACGAAGAACTTCGGCGAATACAGAGAAAGCTTACATTTGGCTAACCCCCCTTGCATTCCATTTTTTGGTATGTATCTACTGGAGGTTTATTGACATGAGACTTACGAATATAGGTGTCTACCTCACTGATCTTACATTCATTGAAGATGGTATACCTTCAATCATCAAGAAGTCTTCTGCGATCAACTTCGCCAAACGAGCGAAGACGGCAGAAGTCATCCGTGATATCCAACAGTACCAGAATGTGCCTTATCCCTTGCAGCCAGTACCAGAACTGCAAGACTACATCTTGAGCAACATGCAAGCAGCAGGGGACGTACATGAGATGTATGAGAAGAGTTTAGCGGTAGAGCCACGTGAAAGAGAAGACGAGAAGATCGTGAGGTATGTTCCACTGCACAGCGTAAGGACGTATGGCGGCTTCAGTTTAGTAATGTGAAATGCCTGCACTTCAAGCCACAATCACTAGTCTACAGTCGGAAGAAAAGTGCTTACTCAAATGGTTCATTATAGGGTTTTGGCTGAGTCTGGCTTCCTTTGAGCCAATGTCAACGAAGGCAACCCGTACACGCATGACGCTAAGAGCTACGACCCCCGAAGGGGATGTTTGACGACGACATGACACATATACCAGCTTCCCTAAATCCGGTACAGATATACATAAGACGATCCCCAAATCGCCTTCGGTGCCACCACACAGCTTTGTTATCATCCGATCGATACCCATCATATTCAACCAGCATATTCGGCTTACATAACATTTATTCGAACTTTTCCCCATACACCCCTCATAGATGTCTTTGGGTCGTGCTTTTTTATTTATCCCAGTGGTTTTATTGCAGGAGGATATATCATAAGGCGAGATGTGGCGTTAAGATCACGTATGTGGCATGCAAAAGCTTTCTCCTGGGAAATGCCACATCTCAAATCCGAAGGTACAGTCGCAATGGCGCACGATGGAGTTTAATTGCCAGGATATTCTGGGGACATAGGCAAACTTAGGCGCTCTAATAGGGTCTGATCTTGAATAACAAATAGAAGATCCACGGATCAGATCTTCCGCAGACCTCACGACCGATGCTCTCTTTTTTCCTATATCAGTGAATGAAAAAGTGGTTCACCTCTACGGACTTGAGCGCGCCTGGAACCTGGGCATCAGCTGACCTTCTTCTCTCGCTTCTTGAAAGGCATATGACAAGAAGCATAGGATTTTCGGGTGGATTGGAGCCCAAAGGCAGCTCCATGTCGCCATCAAGTAAAGATGTGACCTCCCTCCCCAGTCAAACAATCTATATCCCCACAAACGCGTCCTTCCTGGGAGCTTGCATCCCCTCCATTGCTACCCTGGTTAAATGGTTGGGAACGGACATTCTCGGCGAATCTACCGCGGCTAATTGGGGGTTCTCTGCAGTGGGTGGGCGAGGTACAATATGAGGTGGTCTCGTGGAACGTGGCTTCCATTGAACCATTAGACCGCAGTCCGCGGCGTGCGTCGGCGGGGCATCCTGGTCTGCCATGTGAGGTGGACGGCCCACACGGTTGGATGTGGGGATGGCGGTAGCGGGTGAAAGTGGCCAGGCTTGGAAGAAGATATCGCTCAGAACTGTGCCCACGGGAGCAGCGGGCCGAGGCTCGCGGACGGAGAGCGGGAGTTGGGTGTTGGCGTTCGTTGGCATTCGCATTGGGTGAGTTTTTGCACAAATGGGTGGGGGGGGCCTGTCCCTTCTTGGTTTTCGATGCTTGTTACTCTTGCTTTGGCGGGGGTTTTCTTGTGAGGTGGAAGTGCAGAAGTTTGGCGGGGTAAGAGTGAGGCCGATTTTAGGTTTGCAAGGAGCGAGTGCTGATGTGGCAGGCATGTGGGTTTGAGGGCTCGTGTCTGGTATTCTATCCTCGCATTTGGACGGCGTGAGCCATGTGCACAGGACGGGACGGGTATTTCCAGCATGGCGAAGCTTTTGATCTTGGACGAACTGCGGTGTGGTGGGGTTGGGAGGGGTTGGGTAAATTGGATGGATGTTTCGGGAGGTGTTTCGCGGCTGAATGAGGCAAGCCTGATCTCACCTTCATGCAGTAACTCCTCTCCACGCGAAAAGGGGCAGCTCGCTTAATGTCCACATTAAAAAAGGTAATCCAAAAAAAACCAAAAGACAAAACCAATCACCCTAATCCTCTCGGACCAGGGCTTTGGAAAGCCAGACGCACTAAGTTTTGAAGTTTTAACCACTTTGCGTTGGAAGGGGAGAGGAGGGGAGGGGGTTGGTTTAGCATCTTTGCAGACGGGTATGGGAGAGATCAACTGAACAATACAATCTTTGATCGATTGTAATAGGATTTCGCTTCTTTTAGGCTCTGAAGGCCACATCGGAAATTGGAGCTCGTTGGGAGCGGTGGGGTGGTCCTATGGAGTACGTGTATTCGTCACGTGGTCGTTGTTGACTTCGTCGGCTCTGTTCTCTCCAGAGAGGCAGAGAGAATTGCAATCTCCTCGGTGATAGTACCAGAAGCATACCGCTAGGGCCGAGATAGGTACCAATTCAGACTTGTTTTGGCTCTTTCGCATGTGTGCCTTGAGTCCGAGAGAAATGGTATTCTCTCATGTTCACTATGGCAAGTTGGTAGAAATTTGTCCATCTGTGGGAGGTTTATCTTAATGTGTGAGCATGGATAAGAGACAAGAAAGCTCGGGGAGTTCACTTGAGAGGGCAGAAAATGGACCTCTTCACTCCAACAGAGTTAATAACCGAGTAGTCTTCGATCTTCACTTCGAACTTCATCCCTGTGAACGACGTTACCAAGAATAACTCCAATGCCAGATAGAATATTGCTTCTCCCCAGAGTGCATAACAAAAGCCGTCTTTCTCATTGTATCAAAGTTTGCAACATACATAGTCTCAGTCTTGCCCGAACCTAATGCATTACCAACTCCTCGTCCTTCACCTTGTTCAGAGAAGACTGACATAGCCAACTTTCATCTTCAGACTACGAGTCAGTTCTTTTTTCAGACAAGTCGCAAAAATTCAACTTCAAGGGAATCTCACTCTACTTCACTTCACTTCACATCACATCCCCAAGCAATCTTGTCCTCGCTTAAGCTTCTGCGCCTTCTCTTTTTCAATTCCTTTCCTCTCTCTCATACTCGCGCTCCACTCAGCAGGGAGAGACCTCAGCTTCCAAGAGCACCAACAATAGATTCTCCTGGAACATTGAGCACATATTCATTAGTTCAGAATATCAGGAGGTTGTTGTCTCGAATCCCTTCACCTTCATTGTTTGTTCCAATGGACCATCCAGTGTCTCCTCGAAAGAAATCACATACCGGACATCAAATCAAAAGAGCCACACGCATCACTATTGATTTGACTGGTATCAGTGATGATGGCGATGACAAACCGCCCCCAACAAAGCCGCCAACAGAACCTCGCAAGCTATCAAAAGACCAGGACTCCGCACTTAGCGAGCTTCACCGCACCACGCATTTTCTAGCAGAAGACAAAACAAAGGGGCCACTGAAACTAGAGCGCCTCTTCCCTCCAGTACTCACCCCCAGAGATGCCATTGATACCAGATTCTAGGGGTCATTCTCAGTCGAGTCCTCCTGCTTCAGATTTCACCAAACCTGCAATTTCCCCGTGTCAGACTTCTACTATCCCATGTCACTCAACGAAACTTCAACCATTAAATCAAGAGTGGATACAAAACTTTCGCCAACGGCAGCGAGACAAGTACAGGAGTCAAACACGGCACACTGCGAGGCGACGTCTTCCTGTGGCGAAAATCCAACGAGCTAAGAGACCACTAATGAAGCCAAAGATATCCAATCAAAGAGGAAGAAAGAAGCCGGTGTTGCACATCCGTGATATATACGAAGATTTCGAGGCCTCGCAAAGATGCAATGTCGAGCGGGGCTCATGGTCTTCTACCTCCCGAGGTCATGCGGAGCAAGAGAACAAACTTATTTATCTACCTAGGATTGAGGGCTGCAAAGAAGTGACCATGGAAGATGTGAAAGAATTTGAAAGGAAGGAGAGCGAGTTTAAAGATGCCTTCTCCCAGACAATCGACCATGTTCTAAGCAAGGCAGAGGATGATGCACTTGCAATTTCTTTTCCCTCTCCTTCACAGACCGAGAGACCGACCTTCCTGTAAGTACACATCCTTTTTAAAATAAAACTCGGCCAACTGTGATAGGAAACCACTTTCCGGCTTCGTTCGTATTCCTCTTGGACCGCATACATTCGATGTTTATCGGGACTTCCTCCAGTACCGCTGCCCGATACTCTTACGATTTTGCATGCAGGCTGCGTCAACACCGGAATGTCTAACAGATGTTGATCCCGAAGTCTTTGGGCTCTTCGTTCAATGGCTCTATACGCAGTCACTCCTCAACAAGTATGGGCAACCGGCATATCAGCACCGACTCATAGGACTCTGGGTATTGCTAAAAGACTGTGCATGGCGCAGCTACAAAACGACGCCATTAACATGTTAGACGAGCGGAGGATACTAGAAAATTGTATTCAGGTGAAGTCGCTCCGGTTCGTATACGAGAATACCGAGACCGGCGATGCGTTGCGAAGGTATTTAGTGGATGTTTGCCTCCCAAGAATGCACACTTTCTCCCTTGAGATTCGAGAAGATTTCTTTCCAAACGAGTTCGAGAAGGAAGTCACGGGCGCGGAGTTGGCGAAGTTGGAACGGGACGTAGGAGAGGACGAAGGTGAGGGGACCGGCGAGGACGGGCGTGATATGAGAAAATATCACGTTTGTTAAAGGCGCCAGACCTGAGGACAGGTATTGATTTCAGAGACGATATTGTTAAACTGTAGGGACAAACGCGCAGAACTTCAAATTAATCAATCACCATGCCTTGCATTAGACCGCCTTGAATTATATCAGGTATATTGGTGACATCGGTGATGAGCAATTGATCAGTCGTAGTGAGGCTATTAGTCCGTTTTCTCCTGGAATCTGAGCTCTCGTTGACATATCATAATATTGTGACTAATTCTACAAATCCGATGTTTTGCTGTGCTCTGAAAAGCCAAGCCTATTTCGACTCCACATCGTACAGACGACGGAAAGAACGGCAACGGTGATATCAACCACGCTGAGTGCAACTCTGTTTCCACATCCAACTCTTCGTCCTCCAACTTTGTCCGATTGACCAGGTTCCAAATTTCAGACATTGGTACTGGTCGTTCGCAGACCCGGGGCCTTCTCTTGGAGGATCTGACTGTTGTTGGAGAAGCTCCGGCATGGAAATCCTGGCGCTCTGTAATGTCAACCATGCTGAGTGCAAGTCTGTTTGCAAAATTCTGCATAGGCCTGCAGTACTCTTTGTCAGAAACAACAGAACCCGCAGCGAGAGCATTGATGTGTCTTGATTTGGGAGTCCGGGTTCTGCATCTTGAGGAGGGGAGCTATACAGTTCCCCATCCTCTGCAGTCATCCATCACTTGGTCTCTCTGGTGATGCTTTGACAAACCGCTCACGAAAACACCCAGTAGCATCCTCATCGAGTCCGAAATCCATCGCATTGCTCAAGCGAATCTCGTCTCCTCAATTGTCTTTTGCTCCTTTGACTTTTTGGCCCTGGCAGGGCGGCCGCGCTTAGCAGGATCTCCTCCATTCTGTCCTGCCTGATTCAACTTCTCCCGAGATTCCTTGCTTCCGACGCTGATTCCATTCCTCCCCGTCTCCAAGATCACCTTCATTCTCTTCTGCCCCTGCTGCCTCCGTCCCATGTCTGGATTTTTCATCTTGCCCCTGAACTGACGCTTCTGCAGAAGAAACTCCAACTGCTCAATCTCCTCATCAAGTAATCGGACACTGGCGCTGAATCCTTGAGGTTGATTCTTGAAAATTAGAATTGGCATTCGGTCGTAGCCTGTCCGAATTCTCCTCAGTTGGCCCTCGGTGACCTTCGCAATGCGAACGGAGCTGTCAACCATGCCGAGTGCATGTCTACTTGCAGATCCTATAGTTGCCCAAGCCCATACTACCAGCCATCCTTGGCAGTCATCAACCGCCTTGTCTGAGGCGCCAGGGTTTCATTGGATGTGCATGGTTTTGGCGCCAAAGCCATGCTTCTCAATTTCAGGGCTCGAGTGCCACGAGACCCGGTATAATTTCGGTCTATTGATAGAGTTTTCTAGAATCTCACGATTGACCCTGGCAAGAAGCGCGACAATGTGAGCTGATGTTGCTTTGTCCGCACTGCCCGTTGATCCTACCGGTTGAATACCCCACTGGGGCTTCTCTTGCCTTCCTCCTCACACCTCGACCCACCACACATCATTCTAGATTCTTCCGCGCCATTGATTGATCATCATCAAAAGACCCACGATGGTCTACTCCTGGGATAGATTGTTTCTCCAGTCATTACTTTCTTGGATCCTTCTCCGGATGCGGTTGTCTAAGGCCAGATTCCAACGAGAGCGCGGAGAGGCGATTCAGTCAATTGGGGGGTCCTTAGCTGCGGGTCATCCTGCACTCTCCTACTATCCCTGAGGGTAACCATGCTTCAATCATCTCGATTGGTATAGTACCTAGCGACCAGGGATAATCTACTTTTTGACCGTTCTCCTTTCCGTGACCACTTCAGGGCCAATTCAATACGGCGTTCTGCCCATTGTGTTTCTCTTGGACTGAAAGCGTAGACGGTGGAGGTCTTTGTGGACCTTTGGCATGCGGTTGTCAAGCACTCCAAGAGTCCGTAAAGACCTCCACTATTTTAGATCCAGGCCTGCTTTATAGATTTTGCTTGGTCATAAGACAAAACCAACAGGAAAGATCTTCAGGCCGAATTAGGGTTGAGATTCTGGTGAGACTCCAGATGCTTCGTTTCTGCTGTGTGAGAAAGAGGCGACTATCGGGCTCTTCTCCAACTATTCAAAAGCCTATTGAGCGGCAGCGTCGTTGCCTAGATGGGAGAGATCGAAGCGGGTTGATTCGATGTTTGAAAAGTCGAAGGCCGCAGAGGACAGTGGTGCAATGCTGAGCATGGGCTATGCGGTAGAGTTTGCTGCCTTCTTCGAGAGCTTCAAATGTTCAACGAACTGCAAATTCATTTCACAGGTCAGTGATCAGCAAGATACTGAGGCGGTGGTCGGGGGGGGGGGGGGGGGGGGGGGGGGGGGGGGGGGGGGGGGGCTCGTCTTCAGCGCGAGCTAATATGCATTAGCATACGGACGTCACATACCTTATCTGTTTACTCGTCTGGAGTAGATTCGAAACGACGAGCCGGTGGTTCGAACGCAGAAATCGAAGACTGTCCGAGGGTAGCAACGGCAATGCAAGGGAGGGGACCCATTGAGAAACAAATTTTGCTCCGACCTGGTGTATGGGAAGATAAAGATGTTTTAAAGGCCTCGTAGATACTTGGAACGAGATTGCTGACAGTATGAGTTGTTTGTCCGTGCAACACGTGGGACTATCTAAGGAGGTCTTGTGGTTTATGGAAGGCACTCTGCTGCTGGTGGCAAACAGCTTGCGAAACAGCTTGCAGAATGGGAGAAGTGTTTGAAAATGGGAGAACGCCATGGTAAGATTCGGGAATTCGGGCAGGGATCTATGGAGTTAGATGCAAAGTCTTGGTTATTCGAACCCCATACACGAGGTAAGCTCATGAATCAGGTGTCTGTCTATAAAAGAGGTAAGTACGAGTCAAGAATATATACAAATGTCACGTACCAAGGTAGGGGAGGCTTGTGCCATCCAGTCCCTTCTCTGAAATATGCTCCCAAAACCTCGTAGAGCAATTCAGGCCTACCTTCAGCTTTTGCATGAACTTAGTTTCCCACCCTCCTGTTCGGGTCGTCTATATTGAAGCAAGAAGGAAAAACAGATCGGAAGCATGAAGTACTTTTCCACCAACGGTGGTGGCGAGTGAGTTGCCGTTCAAGGTCTAAAAAGTTCTCTCTGCTGCTCCTGCATGCCCGTGCCCAACCAGAGTTTGGTCGAGCTCCAATGCAACTATAATAGAAATCAGTGTCCCGAACTTCCCAACTCCCAAGGATCAGGCCTTTTCGTCTCAACCAACTAACAGCAAGAGTTTTTCTGACAGTAAAATGACAAGCATTACTCACAGTAACGATTTGATCCTCGGAATTCCAAGAATCCAGTAGCGACAAACTTCAAGCTCGGTTTGCGCTACAAATTCAAGTTTATCTTCAACAGATCTGGTGTAGAAGCAATACTAAATCCTCTTCTAAGAGTAGTCAGGTGCGGGAATCAGTGACTAGGCCTCAAGAACGATCCTCTCCCAGTATATTCTCCAGTGTAGGTTCTGGTCACGGTGCAGACAAGATAGTCGAATTTGAACTTCAAAACCAACATAAGCCCATTGTTGCAATGTCCCTCAGCCCCTGAGTCCCAGGCCCGTGCGTATCGAGCCAATCGGATGTACAGTACCAGACTTGCCTCGGCACACTAATGGCGGATGCCAAAATCGCGCGAAGCTTTTTGGAACGTCAGTCGAGGATAGGATTCAGGATAATTACTGACCACAGGTCTTGGGTAGACATAGTAGTCCAAATAGACCCGGGAACGTAAGAGCTCGAATGCCAACGGTTGAAGCCAGCCTTAGCATCTCGAACATGTTCCATGAGCGAGATACAGTTGTAGAACGCGCCAGTCGCGATCGGTTCAGACAACTTGACAGGCAGTCATAAAATCACGGAGTTGTGCAAGTGCTGTCTGCCGTCTTTTGTAAACTGCTTCTAGGTGGCCATGAGACGCGCTGGGTCGGTTTGGATGTTTGCTGTTGCATTGATTTGGTCGATGCCGATTCGAATTTGTCAAGGGCGTTCTCGAACTGCTTGTAGAATTGCTTTGTATATAGAGCAAATAGTGGTATCTCCCTTTCCGTACCTGCATTTCCTTGGACGAATGACCTTTAGGCATGCGACATTGTGCATTGTCTATCTGCACTGAGAATTGTGTGCTGGAAGTTGCTAGACTTTTAGAGTTTTCGTTAGCAGTGCTTCTTTAATCGAAGAAGTTATACCTGCCTCTCCGCTTGCTAGTATTTCTGAGCGTGAATCCTGTCCAGAATTGTGCAAGAGTTTCCAGCCGAAGACTTGATCACGAAGCTGAGGACTGCCATATGTTTGGGTCTGTCAGACTCCTTTGTTGACAACGCCAATCTGATATATTAGACCCAGAAGACCGATAGACTGCTTGGCCGACACCGACAAAATATGCTACTGTCTTTCTCATGTACCCGCGGAGGTAGCTTTAGCTGCAGTAGAAGATTCTAGTCTTAGCTTCAGGTCAGCAATTTCTCAATATGGATTTGAAGGGCTCGAGTACCTTGACAGGGACGACAGAGACGGTAGTGGCGTAGCTTCCAGGTAGCGTGATGGAAATGCTACTACTCGAATCTTTGGAGCACGGCAGTTGGCCTTTCTGCTATCGAGCCCAAATGTGCTCCCAGTTCCTACCTCCATTGCGCTTCGGCGCCCCGAAGTATGTATCAGCTGTCAAGCAGGTTCTGATAGTCTCAGCGTGTTTCATCCGCAACCAGGCCCTCAAAGGGCCTCGGAGGAGAGCTCTTCCTGGCCTGTGTAATGATCGTGACTACCAGAGGAAAGGGAGTTTCTTCATCGATCGACCGGTTGAAAGAAGAGATACCTGTGCAGGAAGTTAGCCACGCTGGAATAGCAAGTGCCGAGGAAGGGGATTTGCCGTTACGAGAGCGGATGAGGTTTCTGGAAGGAGGGGAAGAGTATCGAGTACTCTCAACAAAGAAGCCCTGCTAGCTGAATGCACAGTCCCGCAGTAACTTAGCTGGCACGATTATTGCGGCAGGAGCAGAGCAAAGCTTGGAGTTTATTCCTGTGAGGGTTGCGGGAATCTTGAGGCAGGGCAAGAAATTATTTGATTGAGGCCCCTCGCCGCAGCATTGAGTAGCCCGAGCAGTGCGACTCATCGAGGACTAGTGCGGTACACTCCAAAACCAGCCCTTCCAAACTTCCACCACAACAAATCTCCGCATCTCCCCATTTTCTCATCCTCCCAACCTTCTCCCCTTGCGCTTTAGACTCCACAACTCTCAAGTACATCTGCACATCTGGTAAGTCGCTTGCATGCTCTGCTGCCCCTTCCCCCCAAATGGCACGGCATTGCTGTACACGTTCCTTCCAGTTGGGTGTTGACAGCGCCCCCCGCACCTGCCCCTTCCCATCCGACCTAATACCGATCTCTTCTGCCCCTCCCTTCCCACCTTCCCTGCCAGCATTCGCGATCTCATCGATCTTTCTCCCATCCGTGTTTCCATACACGTCACTGACGAGCTCCTTCTCTTATAGAATGCCTGTGCTTCATCAGATCTGACAGCCTATGCCTTTCATCTTCGCTCGTGGTACTCATAAATCAGACTTTCCGAAGTACACCAAGATCAACTTCTGGACCGGCCATTTGATCGAGGTGTATGTTTACGATGTTGTTCGTGGTACGCTCCGCATCTTCCCGTGCTACTGCACCCACGACCTTACTCCTGATCATGTATGCCCTCAACATGCTCCTTGGTACGATCGTCTTCTCGGCCGCATCCGTTAAGGCTCTCTGCGAATGTGGCTACTCCTGGACCATCTCCACCACCTCTGGCACCACCACTTACATCGGTACCGATGTGATCGAGACGGATGCGATTCATGACAAGAACTTCCTTGATGATACCGATTGGAAGAGTCAGAATTACAACATCTCTGCCTCCGCTGCTCGTGGTCCTTATGGGTAAGCATCTTGATGGACTCTCTGTCAAAACACCCTGCTGATGCTATTTCGCAGTATGAACTTCTCCAGCGCCAACATCGTCTCCAACCCGATTGCCAACTCTTCTAACTGGACCGGCCCACCTGTCTCGAGCGGTGATCCAGGCTTTCAACTCGGCGTTGGCGCTGGTATCCCTGAAAATGGCTTTATACAAGTTGCACAGTTGAACTCGGTTCGAGAGGATCTTCTGTTTGGCACCTACCGCGCTCTGATCAAGATGACCTCTGTACCCGGTACCTGCACGTCCTTCTTCTGGGTAAGCAACTCTCTCTCGCAATCTCCCATCGCATATTGAAGACTAACGGCTAATTAATTTACAGTACTACAACGACTCCCAAGAGATCGACTTCGAGGCCCTGTCGTATCAATACAACTTCCAGAACGGCACATTTCCGATGAACCTCGTCCTTCAATCTCAGCAATCTGCTCGTCAAGGCTTCTCCTCTGCTGCGAGCGGGGACTGGAAAGTTGCCAACCTCCCTTTCGATCCAACTGACAACTTCCACGAGTACCGCATTGACTTCGTTCCTGGAAACGTAATCTACTACGGTGATGGTCAAGTCCTGGCAATTATCAACACGGCTGCGGTTCCTGTCAGCCCCGGACACTTGATATTGTCGCAATGGTCCAACGGTGATCACGGATGGTCTGCAGGTCCTCCTCTTCAGAGAGCTGTCAGCACGGTTGGCTACGTAAAGGGCTACTTCAATTCATCCGATCCTGCTCGTCAGTCAGCTGCTTCTAGGCGCTGCAAGGACCCTTCTGCCCCAGGAGCAATCTGCTCGATTTCAGACCAACTGATCGCTCCGGGTTCGCTGTTCTCCGAATTCTTCGGCGAACATCCGAACATGACCAACAATCAGACGATCTATGGCAAGAGCGAGTGCCCTCCTATGCACAACCCTTTTGCCGATGCCATCGATTCTCTTTGGCTCGGTGTGAATATTATGGTTATCTCGACCATCATCGCCATGATGTTCTGACGATAGCTTCGGCCGAAGAATCAAACCCCTCGCACTGTTGCTGAGCATGATTCTGTCTGTTCTTGAGATCGCCATCTCTCGCAACATTCACGCTCCTATTGCCTCGGGTCAACAGATTAGCTTGGCTGAACTCATTTGTGGATATCTGACTTTTCAATTCTGTGTTCTTCTGACGATGCTCACGTAACGATACCGGCAAAGCTCAACATCAATTCGCATCTGAGAGACTGGCATAATTTGGGGTGTTCTATGGTGTTCCATGTGATTTCTTTCAGGCGTTATGGTTCTTCGTGTTTTCAGATGGTTGTGGGTTGGGGGAAGCATTGGGGAGAATACCTTTCAGCAATAAGCTACGAAAGAAGAATGCATAAATGCACAATACTGCTGTTAACAGCCATAACATGATCCCAAAATAAAAGCGCTGTGAGATCTAAACCCGTGATCGAGCCTCTCGTAAAGGAATGCAGATTCCGCTAACTTAAGCGCGCCTTCCTTTTCGAGTTTCATTGCTGCAAAATACCTCAGAACCTGCGTCTTCCTCCTCCTGAATACAACAATCTAACTTCAGCATTGGAAACATCATTCAAACTCCATTCTTTGCCATTCTTTGTTGGATGCTGGTTTTGAGCACAGTTTCTCCGACATCGACTCCGAACTCAACCCTTTGATGTCTATCGCTGAGGGAGGTCTTTGTCATCACGAGATCATCTCCTATCACCGCTCGCCCTCGACAGTGACAACACTTTTCAGATCATCTCCGTTCTGAATCTCGATTCCGTCATGGAGAAACATCCCACTGGTGGAGTGGCAGGCGTGCAGGCCCCCTACGAAAACCAGCGTCCCATTCCAAAAATTGCATTGGATACTTCAATATTGACCAACAAAACTCCCGCAGTCATTTGCAAAGAAGCCCCATCTTCTATCTGCCAGCAGAGCTTCTCGAATGCTCCGCCGACGGACACTAACTCAAAGACCTCGACTTCTACAAAATATTGGTGCAATTCCTCGACTCAGCCCATGGACAAAAGCTCAAACTCCTCAACTTCGACATACTATTCTCGCCCCTTCGAAGATTCAAAAAATGAAAGACGAGTATCCATCGAAAAACTTCAGCTTGGTCCGCTGACGGAAGAAAGCGTGAACATCCTCGTCGAGTCGGACGGAATCATCAGAAACTTTCTCGTCCACACCCAGTTACTCTGCCACTTCTCGCCCTACTTTCGATCGTTCTTTGGAAAGAGAGAGCCGAAAGTCTTCACCACAGAAGTCCAGACTTCCAAGTACACCAATGAGCTGGACTTTGAAAGTCATGAAGAGGATAAAACCAAAGATGAAGGCAGGGTTGCGATTGCTATTAAGGTCAATATCCCAACTGCCAAAGTCCAGCAGGGTTTCCGTCTTCCTGGCGCGCTCGGCGATGTCAAGCACGCCGTTTTTGCCACATTTGTTGACTGGTTGTACCTTGGACCTGGAAAATTTGAGCCAAAGGATGCCAACAAGGCCAACCAGCTTCTCATCCCTTTGTGGGTCCTCGCCGGTCGTCTTGGAATATCATCCTGCCAGAATGACTGCATCGCTGCCATTGAAGACAATCGCAAGCGGAACCGCACGATCACAACAAGCATGATTGGATGGGTCTACAGCAACACAAGAGAATATGGAAAGAACAACTGCGGCCTGAAGAATCTGCTCGTAGATCAGTGTGCCCTGGCGTTGGATGAAAAGTGGCTTCTGGAGGGGATGCAACAACCTGGCTTCGCAGAGCAGTTCACTACGGAGTGTTTATTTGACATCATTGCTAGGATGAGATTTCTGCTGCGAGATTCTGGTCTTGGTGAAGGTTCATTGGCCATCTCACCAAGAAGTCGCCGATACTGGATTGAGGATGGAGAGGGAAACACAATTTGAACACGGAGGCATGGCAATGAGCAAAGCATGGAACGCATGGCATTTTTGGAGGTTGATGGGTTTTGCTTTCTTGGTTTATGATGGGCGTCTGAATAGACATCAGTGATGATGTAACTAATGTGGAGCCACTGGCTTCTTTTGATGGTGTTTTCATGGAATCAACATCACCTTCTTATACTCTCTCCCTGACAATTCTCTGATCTTCACCTTCAACAAACTTGGGAGCTTCAACTTTTCATTCGCATATCTCGGAGATGACACCGATGCAACGCCATTATGATCTTCAAACCTAAGTATTATTCGAAAGTGAAATGTCTTCATCAAACTTTTTCAGCGCTGCGGACCGGTCCGTTCCTCTCCCCATGAGTTTTGTGCACCATCCGCCTTCGAATTCCGATACCCAGCTGTATTAAACTAAGTAAAATGGCCCGGGAGACAAACATTTGTGATTTGTTGACCAGAGAGAGCGATGGCGGTAAGAGGGGCCATCTTCCAGCGGACGATTTGAGGAACTTCGAGGACAAGAGCCTGGCCTGGAACTCCTAAAACGAATGCACCATGTCCACTCCTTTCCAGAATGAGGAATTACCCACACTTTTGCCTCGACGTCGGTGAGTAATTTCAAAGTGTTTGGGGGCACTTTCTGTCTACCAGTGGAATTCGGTACCGGGTGGAGTTCGAGTCATGTTTAGAATGCAATGAAGGCATCTAACTAGAAGTACGCTAGATTCTCGAAAGCAACAGACGTATTCAGGACGCAAAGAGATCTGCTTACCTGTCTCTCCCGCTTGCCTTCCTCGCCCTCAATTTCTCCCTATTAAAACAACAACCACCTATCTAATCTTCATTTCCAAAAAGCGGATTTGATTCTTTGGCCCCTTGTTGACTCTGCCCCCTTTCTTCGGATAATTATTAATCCAAACGATTTCGCTTCGACTCGTTTAGACGGCGCGCATTAACTTTCATCCGACGTATCAACAGGTCAAATAAGAGACCCTCTTTAACAAAAAAAGCTCAAATGGTGCAGGTGGCTGCAGTCGCATAGCCACTGTAAGGTTTGTCACTAACATTTCTGTTTCCCAAGAACCACAAAAAAACTTGAAAAAACCAAAAAAATTCACCATAAAACAAACGAAAAATTTCTCGGCCCGCCTATCCGAGAGGCTGATTGAACTCTCGAAGAATCATTGATTCTTCGTGAGTCTGGCAGTAAGTACACTCTTCTTCTACCACGTAAGCGATAGCTGACCGAACCAAGCGACCCCGCCTGGGATTCCCAGCCCACACTCCGCGGCGTCGCTTGGAGGCCGCCCAAGCGGTCTCGCCTTCTCCTGGACCAAGCATGCATGCACCAGTCCCCAACGCCCGTAAGTTCACTTGCAACCACGTCACTGACCGCCTTGCTAACGATTCCTCAGCATGCTGCTGCTGCTGCTGCTCCGCCCGCACACACTCTACTTCATATCCAAATTTCAGGGTGGTGGAAGGACGGCCGGTCCACCTTCGATGGTCCCCGAGCCGAGTCAACACCGCCTTCCTCCCTTCACCCTGACAATCCCTCTCCGACCAGCCCTCCTGGCTATACTGCCCCGGACACTCCACCCAATATGGGTGCCGGCAACCAACCAGTTTATAATTACACTCTCTCAAATCTCCAGGCAATCGCCATCTTCTCTCCTCAACTTACATTCAAAATCCAACGTCAAAACCACAAAAACAAAAAAACAAAAAAACCCCAATATTTCAAAGTCCCCTACCCCCATCTGCATAGCTTGAGACTGCAGCCTACCGAAACCAAGAGCTTAACCAAACCACAATTTTTTTTGCTACTTATTCCTCTGCAGGGTGAGCAAAGCTCGCTTGAGTGAGGCAGGAGGGGAGGAGGCTCTAGCATTTTCTCTTTTGCTGTAGGCAGAAGTTGCTGCGAGGCTAGGCCAGAGTCCCATGTACCTTGAGGTCAATCGCAAGGCAGGTAAAATTTGCAAGGAAGGTGAAAATTAATACGTGAAAACAGGGCAAGGTCATATCGCGAAAGCAAATTTATATTAGGACAGAATCAAGTTGTGAAGGCAGAGCAAGATTGTAAGGTAATCTCAAAGTTTGAAGGCAAGGTCGAAGATCCGAAGGCAAGAATGAGTGGCGATGTTAAGTTCCAATGGTAAGGCAGATCAAGACCGAAGGCACAATAACAAGTGTAAGGAGGATGCGACCACAATGGAGGATTTGATCGCAAGGTAGAGTTCAATAAAAACACAACGACAGAGCAAGAGGAAGCACAAGACAGAAGGGGGAACATTCATGAGACATTTCTCATTTCTCTACCTCTTTCTAAAGATGCAATATCTTCATGTTCACTTTATAAACCCTATTACAAACCATGCAAATCCAACCTATCTATGCAACATACACATAAGTACTACCCTCGCGCTCCATGTAATCTTTATCGATCAATTCTGCTCTCGTTAGCATGGGTTGCCGGCGAAGAGAACAGGGCAAGAAAGGGGAAAGGGAAGGACTCACTGTCGATATTCTGCTTAATCTCCCCCAACTCAATCGCGCCCCTCTTCTTCGTCTGCTCAATCACCTCCGCAACGAGATTCGCATGCGTGATCGTCTTTCGACTCTTCATAATCCGCACAATCGCCGCTTGAGTCTCGTACTGTCTGTCCTGATGCACCCGCTCATGCGTCTCTTGATTTTCTTCCTTCGTTTCCTTCAACTGGATCTGATTGATCTTGATCCTATACTTGGGATCTGTGAAAGCGAGGTTCACGGTAAAGGTGTCGTCGTGATTGACCTCCCTTCCTTTGGGATGTTTTGTAAGCACACGGAACTTGGCACAGGCGAGGGATTGCAAGGTTCGCTCGAGCTCGGCGTCGACGAGGCCGGTGGAATCTTGAATGTCTTTGTAGGAGAGATTTCCGCCTTCTGCGATGTCGTTGAAGAGTACGAGAACGATGGCTTGGAAGGCGGAAACGAGAAGCTCTTTCGGTCCCTTCTTGAATTGAGCTTTGACTATGCTGTGGGCGAGAGCGTGTTTCCAGGTTAGTCTTCTGCCGGTATGCTTATGCTTATAGTGTCGATCGTATTTCTCGAGATGTTTTGAAACCTCAGGTGGAAGCTTAACAGTCACGTCGGGGTACGTTGGCCACGCCGCAGCTGACAAGACGTTGACTTGGAGGTCCATAGTTGTCTTGCTGGTATTGCTGAGGGATTGTTTGTAAGCAACCATTTCGTCCCTGGCGATCTCTTGGTCCTTGAACATTTGCTCAAGGTTGTGAGTAAAAGCAAATCCACACTCGATCTTTAACTTGGCTAGCATATTCCGTTCTGCATCTTGGCTTGCGCTGCGAGCCATCAAGAGTCGACGAGCGAGATCCTTCTTGTAGAAAGCCTCGAAAACATCTTTCCCTTCGATGAATCGGAAAAGCTCCAAGCCTTGCTCCAGTTGTCGATCAAGCTCGGCGTCCTCATCGCCGGTGCTCGCAAGACCCTGCTTCTCGGCAGCATCTCGATCCTTGGTATCGGATGTCAAAGAACGGGGAACAGCTTTTAGGCCCCCTCGAAGCAACGAATCCATGTATTTCGCAATCATCTCTCCAACCTTCGAATTACTGGTACCATATGCCAAGGTGTTCTTTTTATCGTTGATGAAGTTGCCGAAAGCTTCCCGGAGACTGTAAGAGAAGGCCTCATCTTTCTCGAATGAATCCCGAATAATCTTGTCGAGAGATTTCTTGAGCTCAAGAAGACGGACGACCATTTCATCCACTTTCTCCTTATCACTGACGATGGCCGCTCCTGCAGTCTTGATATAAATCTCGAAAGGTTCCTTGAGCTTCAGCTGCATTTTCGAGAGAGTGAGTAAATTATACAATGCCTTCATCGAATCCATTGCATTGTCTTCGATGAGGGCCGCTAGACCCTTGGGATCAAGCAGTAATGAAGACTTCTCTTCAATGAGTATCCGGTGAGCCGAATCCAGTAAACTTCTTTTAGTTGTGCTGTCGAAATTATATGTGTCGGCACGAAGAGCCTCCCGGGCCAGCAGGTTGTGCACAGCAGAGATATAGTTCCTTAACAAGGAATTGCTTCGTTCTTGTGCAAAAGTTGTGAAATACCTCGCACTCTGCTGAAGGAATTGAGGTTCGAAAGACTTCCCATAGACGCCGAAGATGTGCAGCATCAATATCGAATCTTTCAGGAGTGTTGAATCGAATAATTCTTCCTGGTTTGCTCGGTCATACGAAACAAGATCACACATTCCCTGTACCATTTTGGTGCCCAGGTTCTGCCGACCATTGCCTTTGCTCTTCGTGAATATGGTATGGCGATATTGTTGTATCCCAAGGTCTTCGAGTTGAGGAAGGTCTTTGACGTTCAAGAGATAAGATCGATCGAGATAACTGAAGATGGAGCGCAGGAGCGTCTAGGTGGTCCGTATTAGCTTCTTCATGACAAGAAAATGAGCAAATCATACCGATTGTTCGTTCCACGCCACCCAAAACCGCTGCACAGCCCGTAGAGCATCTACATTACTTGTCCCGGACTGCTTCTCAAGCTCTGGCAGGAGCTGCTTTTCGAGATAACCTTTACATCGATCCTTGAGATGCAGGAACAGTTTCTCCGCTTGCCCCCTTCGACATGTCGCCTCCACCCCCCGACACAGAACTCCTAACGGTGTGCTTGGTGGACGTTTGTTGAACACCGAGGTGAGAGCAGCATCAAGTTCCGACCACGTCCGGCCGTAGTATTCATCCACGCTCTTCGTCGAAGTAGGTCTCAGGTTCTTGATCACCAGTCTCTTCGCACCGGCGTGTGGCTGGAAATTCGATGGCGGCCGTGTCAAGTCGATGATTTTGGGCCGGGACCCTAACTCCAAAGTCTTGCTCATGTCTGCGGATCTTCCGAGATTTCCTGTGGAATGGGACGTCTTCAATCGTTTCGAGGCGTTTAATGACGCGCTGATCGGTGCTGAGAGGGGCTGCCGCGTCTCTTTCGAGCCCGCAGAGTTTATCTGGTTGTCGTTGAGCTTTCGTTTGATGGTTGGTCGGGAATGGTTAGCAATATTATCGTCAGACAGATCTCCTGGAGACTGCATCGACCTTTATTCGGCCTTCAAATACATGAAGGCGTCTTCACGGAGCAGTGGGGTATTATCTCGGGCCTCCTTTCTGGAAGGTGCAGATGAATGCAAGGCAGAGTTTGAAAGCTTCGAGGCTCCCTGGCTCGCAATTGCCCCAAGTATATCTTCAGAGTCCGTGGAAGTTGTGCTTGGTGGGGATCGGACAATGTGACGCGAACATGACGGGCTGGAGACAGGTAGTTGGCGATAACGTGCTTATCGCCGAGAAGGGCACGTATGATAACACGTGACCATGACTGGAAAGTACTTCCCCAAGGCTGCGCCTCAAGGTCAAGGAATTGGTTGCCATGGTGTGAGAATTTGATTCCACTTCACTTGCAAAGACGCAATTGCTCAATCAAATGTAGTTTATTTTATGGTATCTCATCCCAGGTCATTTTTCATCGACTTTCCTGTCATCTAGCAGAGCCAGCGCGAGACAACGTCGGATCTACCCAGACACGCCTTCCTTGGTCTATCTATTGTACAGCATCTCCTGACATAAACACAACCCACTTATGTGAACGCAGTGTATACCTTCGCCCGTTTCTTTTGATGCATTTGTTCCTCGAATTCAAGAAACTCTGTCACAGACATGAGCAACGTGAATGAGTCCGCAAGATCATCGATGCTCTGCTGGGACATCCCAGATGTATTGCCAAGGCCAGCAGACTTTTTGAGAACGGCAAGTATCGAAAGTCTGTTTTCGGAAAGAAATTTTCGACCTTGCTCGAGAGTCTGTTGATTCTGGGAGCCTCGGCTCAACACAGCTGCACAGATGACTCTCATTACGGCAGCCAACAATCGATAATGCTGATTTACGGCGTCAGGTCCCTCGATGTCTGGGGAGGTCAGCGCGTGGAAGTAAATGTAGATAGTTGAAACTCACCAACTCCAAGATCTGCATCAGTGGCAAACAAGCCAGAAACCTTGATTGAATGAAGCAATCCGGAATTCAGAATAGCTACAGCTCCAAGGCGGGTTTGCGATATTTGTAGGAGGAGTGAAAGCTTGGCGTGACAATAGGACAGTTGCATGTCGATATCTATTCTTGTTAGCGACTGGCAGCGATGGCGGACAGTGTAGGTGACATACCCTCAACAGAAGTCTCCCGCAAATCGGTCGAAATATGCTGAATAGTGTCGACAAGAATGCCAATGAAGTTGAGCCGAGCGAGGGCTTCAATCATGTACTTCGAGTTTTCTTGTCTTCCCATTTTCACCAATGCACCGAGAACAAGTAATGCCGCGATTCGACACGCAGGCTCACCAGCGTGCGCATCATCACAGACAACTTCAATGAATCGCTCTCCCGCAGTCTTGATTGTCTGGATGCCGTGTCTTCGATGTATACCTGATATGCCGGAGACATCCGACATTCCTGATAAGTAGCGATAGCTGATGTCGTAATACAATGCTTTCAATTCCACTTTTGCACCAAGTGTAATGATTGCCCTGAGAGAAACTTGGAACAGATGGAACAACCTATCGCTGACCAAGTCTCCAATATCACCTTGCTTGAACGAGTCGGAACCAAAATCCAAGCTGAAGATTAAAGCCTTCGCGAGTCTTGCCAGTTCAAGCGCTTCAGAGACCGCTTCGAGACCACTCTCTGTCCTTGGCATGATTGTCTGTAAACTTCTCAAGACGAAAGAAATCCTCGCCGTGCTGTCAAAATCTCCACTTTCAACCATCAGTAGCGTTAGCTGGACCCATGATCTGAGCACCTTTATTCGCGATGCATTCAAAATCTTGACCTGATTATCTTGAGCCATGAATTGAAGTAGTCCTTGAGCCTCAGCGTTCACATTATTTTTATCTTGTTCGTTTTCCAGTCGCCTTGCATGAGTGAGCTCCGCACAGTGTAAGAGTAGCAGTTCCTCAGCTTTTGTAAGGTCGTAGGAAGATGATAGGTCCTCGTACCTATCCAGACAAGCGTGCACATCGATATGCTTGAACCAAGTAAGTTGAGGAGGGTTTGGCGGGGCTGTAAACTCGTTCTCCATAAAGTCAAACAAATCGAAAATGGTAGCATGCTCGACTTTCTCTCCATCGTCAAGGGTAGTCGATCCTAGTAATGTTTCAAACATTCGCTGTTTCAGTGATGGGGAGTGGCTACGGGCGACCTGGCGCAGCTCAGCCGATAGATATTGAAGCACCAGTGATCTCCGACCCAGGAATTCGGAGAGACAAGATGCCGATGGAGAGGAAGTAAACGCGGGATCGGTAGCGTTCAAGCCTTGCCACAATATTTCTGGTTTGATGATCGTTTCTCTGGCGAACAGTAGAAAGAATGTATCATTGGCCTGCATTTCAGCCATTGTAATGGGAGACGAAATAGGTGATGACCAAAGTTCTCTCAATACTTGCATTCCCTTGTAGCTCAGAGACACTAGCCACGATGAGATACCTACGTCGTCTTGAGATATGGGGGTATTAAGTACCATATCCAGGATCGAGTGAAAGAGAGAAACACTGCGGCTGAAGGGACCATCTGCGTCAACACTCAGGGAATCGTTGTCACAACGAAAACCCAGAAGAAGGTGCGCTATGGTGGGTCGGCCAGGGGCGGTTCGTAGACAAGCATTGAGAAAGTCCAAAATCTGGATTTTGATGATATATGTGTCTGATTCTGGGCCTTGATTATTGTCCAGTGGAGAATCTATCTCACAGAGGAGGATTTTTGATATCGTCTCAGCATCATCGTCAAGGGCAGCGAGTGCCTTGTTTCGGTCTGACCCACGACCAAGGCCGGAGCTAGGGGATGATGACAGCTTTGGGGACGCTGAAAGTTTCTCAAGAAGCTTCAGGGATGACAGTACGAGTTTAGAGTAGCCCGTACCACAATATCGGCCCAAGTCAGAGAATATCGTGAGATGGTTCAGCACACCGTCTTCAAAACATCCAAATAACGCGTTTGAAACGGGAATCCTTCGGTAGTTTGGGACGGATTTAATCAGAGGCCGGATGATGTCCAGATATGTAGGTTGAAGGTCCAGAATTGAGCTAATAACATGGATACCGCGGAGGAGGCAGAGCATCAGGGGTGACTCTGGATTAACCCGATGCACTTCTGCCGGATCTTGATGAACGGTAGCAAATAGGGCAGCCATGATTTTGTCATTGAACATCCACTCCATCACTCTTGAGAAGGGGTGAAGAAGGACATAGTTCTGGAGATTGGATGCTCGAATAGCCGCATCAACGACTACATTTGATTGACTTGCGAAGATCACGAGGTCTTCGTTGAAAGTATCCAAACAGGTGGCGATGAAGTCCAAACAACTCAGTTGCAACAGTCTCAATTGAGCAGGCTCGTTTTGCTCTGGGGCTCGCTGTCCGAAAATTTGGCCAAGGACAAAGTCGATGTATGGATCAATGCCTGGTTGCCGGGTTGAAATCCCCAAATTTTCGGGAAATGGCAAGTCATCGCACAGGCCCGAATCATCATGGTATGGCAACACAAGAGCATGAAGTAGTTGGACGAAGGCGTTCGGTTCTTCAAAGCCTGATGCTAGTCCCTTGAGTATTGCACCCATTGAAGCAGCAGTGGTGGTAGTTGACGAAGAAGACGATGTCTTGGGCATTGTAGATCCTGGCGAGTAGCCACCAGAAATCCACACGTCAAGAGCTGTCCATAAATATTCCCCGGCATCTTTGGATTTTTGGGTGAGAAGAGACCGAAGAGTTGTGAATGCACATGCTCGGAGACGAGATGCGATGGCGCTGCTGGCGAGCTGGAAAAGTAAATCAGTGATATGAAAGGACTGGTGTTGGGCTAAGAAAGTCCTGGCTTCTGTGCTCCCGGAACAGAGTCGTGTGATCAGACGGAGATAGCATTCCAATAGGATTTCCGAGTCAGGTTCCCTTTCCACATGATCGGTTTGCGGCTTTCCAAGACGGTATGTTTGACCCTGTGGCAAAGCTGGGACGTCTCGGAGTTGTGACGAATAGAATGTCAGTTCCTTGAAAATTTGGTTCCATGTCAATGAAGTTGTCCTCCTGATTTTGCCCGTTGGCTGTGCTCCTTCATCCAATAAAAAGTGATGAGCAGCTGTAGCACACTCTTCATCTGCAGATATTGCTTGTAGCATCTCGCAAAATGCGCTGATAAGTGGAGTCGATGCCCGCTTGGAGGTCCATTGCACGAAGCCGATTAATGCACCATCAGGAGCATCCCAGAACCCTTCTAGGGCAGCCTTCGGTCGACCATCGTAAGCATATGATATAATCACTACAAATTTCTCTAAATCTGGATCATGCTCGTGATTTGGGCTAAGTTGTCGCTGTTCATCCTCGTCTTGTCGAAGTTTTCTGAGCGCATCAGGAAGATTCGTGATGAAGCTCTCGACAAAGGTCTCTAACAGTTCCATCAACACTTCTTGGAAGAAGTCAGAGAATGGGACAGAGTCGGAAGCCAAGACTGGAGCTTTTCGTTGTAGATACTGTCGTAGGCCAAGGCGAGCAGGATCGTACCATTCGACAGGCTTCACGTCTGCAGAAAGGGATAAGATGAAGTCAAACGCGCCATCTTTTAGAGCTGTCTCAAACTGCTGTGCCCGCTGGGCAGCCTCTGGAGATGCTATTAGCAGGAATTTTCATTTTGAGCGGCGGAGTAATTGACCTGGCTGAACCTGATTGTCTGGTACATTACTCTCGGAATTCTCGCCATACCATCCACTGTATTCAGCAAGCCACCAAGCCCGGAATGCAGCATGAACGTAGGGTAAAGTCCAAGGTTTGTCATCATCCTGTTGAAAGACTCTCGCATTTAATGCTCTTGCATCAGTGATATTTCCGTCAACACCGCCAAAGCGTGATATGAAGGCCGCCAGTGGTGGGAAGTAATGCACTGATGAACCTCATTAGCACAACTCGTTTCATGAGATTATCGTGAATTGGATAAAATATGTTCCCATAAATGAGAAGTGATATCGGAAGTTTTTGTCGCTTGGGGATGTCACTCACACAAGAGATTGTCGTACTTGTCTGCCCTCCTCATAGTTTCCAACACCTGATCAAAATCTGCCGCAACGGAATGGCTTTCCTTCACCAGATACACCAGAATAACTGCTAGTGACTCGTGTTGTTTGATGAGACTGACTCGCTGGTACTCCATCATTTGCAAAACCTCCACATGCTGTAATCTCTCGAGAACAGATGCGCCACTCAGCTTCTCTGCAAGCCGCTGAAGCCATAATTTGATATCGGTCATGCTCGAAAGACATCTCTGTGTATATCTCAAAGGCGGAACCCCTGGCTGGACAATATCATCCAAGATAGCTCGTAGATCGGCCCGGAGCTGATCATCCTGATTAATGTCCGCCGATAGTTGAACGATCATGCGAAGGCAATCCAAGACACATTTTCGTCGCTGATGAAATCGAACGACCGAATTCGTAAGCGCAGGCTGCCCAGAGGCATCGGTGTCCCCTTGAGCCTCCAGAAAGACACTAGCAGCATCAAGTTCGTCAAGGTCCAATTCGTCAGCGAGCTGTAGAGCGCCTTGTTGGAATTCTGCATTGATAGTGTATTCGTCACCAGAAACATCCAGCTTCCCTAATATGTCCTGATTAGTTTCGGTACGAGGCATGGGACAGAACTTCAAACCTGTTGCCAAGCTCTTCCGGCTCTGCTCGTTGCGAGGCTTCTTGTCCAACAGGTTCTTGAAGTCCCTTCGATGGGCATCGAGTTCCGCCGCCAACCGTTCAATGCTCGATAGTTGTTTCTCAGACAGAGCGACGAGATCGGAGTACAGAGCTTGCAGGCTCTCCAAGCTATTCAGCTCCGCCATTGTTGAACCCGATGTGCCGGCTCGTACAGCTGGAGAATGTTCACGAATTTACCAGCATGGAACAGCAGCGGCCCTATAAGACACACATGTGTCCTTGGTGATGTTGGTAGCTCAACCGGCGCTGCCAGACTGTGGGCGTAGGTCAAAGGCGTGAATTTACTGAACTTGTTGATTTTTTGAAGCTCGCGTGGCGCGTCCGCGTCCTCGAAATTTCTGTGGGGAAACGAGGCTGCCGCTGATCTTCGTACATTCAACCTTCTCCAGTAGAACTACGTTGAGCTTCCACCATCGCCCACGGCCGAACACATGTCCAGGAAATTCCGGCCGGATCTTGACATACCCACCTGCAGCTTCTGGTCTTTTTGAGAGCATCCGCCAACAGTGCAGCTCTCCCCATCGCTGACACCTAAGCTATGGTCGTCAGCCCCACGAGCTGTCTTCAGGATGGGCAAGTCGGTTGGAGAGACGGCAGAGATTCGTCTTGATCTCGTGCTTGGTATACCACCTTCTCTCGTCTTTAAACCTGGTACTGAGTAAATGCAGAGGCGCTCGAGAATAAGTCGAAGAACAATCGGTCCAAAGCCGTCAAGGGTGAGGAATTCCCCTGTCCGTGAATGGATTACTGGATACCTGATACAGAATAGATCTATTGACCATTTTTGATCGCACGCGAAAAGAACCCAATGTGTAGGAAGCACCGAAGTATCCAAAACCGACTACTCCTACTAATGATGCCTATAGAGACAAGTTGAGCGACAAAGCGTACCACAAAATCTTCGAAACCCTATTCCGAGCTGTGCTTACGGAGAAGTCATCCTTCTTTGCGGCGACGAAGACTACATTGACGAATGCCACCACGAGACTCACAGCGTGTGCTGATGCCGTTAGGGTGGTTGTTGAAGCTGGCGCCACGAAATTCAAGATAAAGACTGTGGAGGCAATTGCGGAGCATATTATTCAAACCCTTCCGACCACAGACTCTGGATATTGTAAACCGCTCACACAGCACTATCTACAAGCTCTTCATACACTATTCAAGCACCAGGCGAATGTGGAGCGCCTCAAGAACAGTATATGGTTCGATGTCGTGGACTTTTTCATTCAAGGAATTAATCAATATTTGCCTAACGACGATGGGGGACCGTCTAGTTTGTCCCATAGTCATTATGGCCTGGGAGGAAACCACCGGTCTGGTTCAGTGCCCAAGTCTATTACGAGCAGTGGGCAGACTCAGAGTCAGCATTCTCTGACAAGGAGCAATGTCGAAGATCTCTTTCAGATCTTACTCCTTTTCGTATCTGCTTCTAATGCGCCTCTACCAGAGGTGTATCTTAGGGTAGTCGATACTACCATGCTGTTTTTGCAATCGCAAGGCTCTCATGCAAGCCAGGTTCATCAGCGGGCCTTTTCTACTCTCAATACTGTCTTGCAATTTACTCGCATAGATCACATCTCCAATACTCAAACTGTTGCTCAAGATGTCATTCCCGTTATTTCTCGGTTCTGGCAGGGCAAGGCCGTGGCGAAAGACGAGATGTTGAATTCTGTACGAGATGAGATGCTGATCTTGTTATTCAATGTCCATCTTCATCTGGAACGCAGCATCATGGATGATGAGACATCCGAGGTTTTGTCAAAAGTAGAGGACTTGCTGGAAATTCTACGCGCGGACTATGCCAGACGTTCGGATCGAGATCAATTACAATTGGATGACTTGGAAATGATAGATTTCGGTGCAAAGCTGCGCAATGACACACCCTTCCGTCTCCGTGCCTTCAAGCTTAGGCCACACAATCACCGAGCTGAGAGAAATTGGGCCCATCTTCAAGTAATCGGAATGCTTGAGAGACTGGTGACCCTTGGCAATCGACAGAGGAGCGTTGGAACAGCAGGAGCCCAAGAACAAGAGAGAGAGTTGCATCCTCGCAAGCGGCAGCGTATGGCTCGACCTTCGGATCGCCTCCTGGATCCTTTACGATCTGATGACGCAAGAATGAGAATCGCTGCTTTGCAAACATTGCCATTTGTGCTTGAGACTTGCCAATTACATTGCTCTTTGTTGACTGAACTGTTGGCTCTTTTGCAGACCTGCGCAGGCGACAAACGTGGCAACATTGCATCTTGGGCGCTGCTAGCTATTGCAAGGTAGGAATGTTACCTTTATTGAGAACCTGATACTAAGACCTTCTCTTATAGTTCTGCTCACCAGGAAGTTGCCTCTGAAATCAGCACCGTGGGCTGGACACAGCTTTGGCGTGTTGGCGCTAGGTCATTAACGTTCCCCACAACGTCGCGAGCTGCAGCACTTGAACTCCACGCCATCGTTGCAAGAAACCTAGTTCAATATCATGATATTGGCGAAGACATAGAAACCATAGTTACGTCTACCGATGCAAGTGGTCCGGCTGTCCTCTGCGATTCCGGCCTCTTCCTGATGACCCATTTATTGAATGCCAGGATAACTGAGGTACCCGGTGCAAGTCTTGCTGCATCTCAGCATGTCATCCGATGGCTCTTCGCGCGATGGGACCCAGGTATGAGTGCTATATTCCTCACACCTCGCTTTTCGCCATACTGACATTCGTGAAGTTGACACTGTCTTTGCCACGTCTTATGCCATCCATGCTCAACCGCACAGCATTATGACCCTGCTTCGAATCTGCCTGGGTCTGCATAGGGTGAGCTTACCTACGAACACGATCACTTCATGCGGCCCTGTCGCACAAGCATGGCAGCACCACTTGAATACCCAGGATGTGCTTCGATACATCTTACTCCTGGACGTCTCAGTGGCCGAACCAGTGGATTGCTTGTGTCTGTCATGCCCCAAAGATGAAGCTTCGGGCAACACCGTCCACATATTAAACACGGCGCATTTCCAATCGTCAAGGAAAGCCATTCTAGAACTCCTGCATCCGAAAAGCAACGATATTCTGGAGAGCTGGAAGAGCTATGTGGTTGATCGACCCTCATCTATGTCCGCAGACACCTTTCGAAGTACATTTTATAGCTGTATTTCGATGGCGCTTCTGATGAGGCATTTCGTAAACCTGGATTCGATGCAATTACCCTCCATTGAAACGAACTTACTGAGCTTGTGTACAGAGCTTATGTCATTCCTTCGAGATGGAGATACTGCAGATCCGAAAGGCGTCAGTATTCTGTACGAGATATTGTTCCAATCGATCCATCCGTTTGTACCGCTTTGCGGCACTATCGATTTCCAATACTTGTCGGAAAAGGAACCCCATATCCTGAAGGTTTTTGTCATAATCGCTAAAGTGCTGCTCAACCGTGTGACTCAGAGCGACGAGGCATCTGCCCCTATGGACGATCTTATGGATCTTGATGATTTCTCGAACATACACAGTCAAAATCGTGCAGAATCTCAAATGGCTGTGATGCCAAGAAAAGATCTCTCCCTTGACATGTGGTCTGGCTCCTTCAATCTCGTTGTCGGTGGCAGAATACTTTTAATCGCGGCTGTCAACGACAACCCCGACACTACAGGATTTGTACCGTCTCCGTTCGTTGATCACTTCATTTCTCTATCGGATGACGAAATCACTTCAAGCCGTCGCCTGCTCCAAGACGTTCTCACATCTGATCTGGCCCTCGATGAGACCGATGCGACAAATATTCTCGAGCGCCTGGCCGGGATCCTCTCTTCGGACGCATTTGACCGATGTGAAGTCACGCTTGGAATGTGCTTAGACTGTCTAGCTGGTCTGGAACCATTCTGGTCATCATTGAATGGGAGCGGTGCAGCCTATGCTGCTTCGCAGATGTACAACTGGTTCATCAACGCAGCCCTCAAAAGAGGCCTTGCCTCTCCTGAAGTGCTGAAAGGAATGGCCAGACTGTTACTAATTCTTATGCGAACTAGCCCCGACTACGGCAAAGAGGAATTCGACCTACCTTCGCCACGGTCTAGCCTCTTCAACATATTAGAGAAGGGCAATGCGTCTGTCAAGTTCTATCTTGGGAGCGAACTCTTCAAGGTCTTCAAGCTATTCATACTAAAAGACCATGATGATGTCTTTGTAGATATCATCGGAAAACTGCCCCGCGATTCGGACTGGCTGGAAGGAATATATCTCCGACTCTTCGTCTTCGAGAAACTTGCGTCCAAATGGCCCACGTTATTGCGCCGGTGCATTTATCACCTGTTCGAGACAGCCGGAAAGTTACCCCAATGCGTTGAACATGCGACTAGATGTGTAAAGAACATATCCTCGGCACTTAAAGTTGATGGTCCCCAACAAGTTTTTGCATTGTTTGCCCCCCAGATGTTGTTTACATGGCTGGCTCCGGATGAGAAGGACGAGGATAAAAAGCCTGGGGACGTCAACAAAATTCCCTTCCGCATATTTGGATTCTCCAGCCTTCAAGAACTCATTGAGGATGCGCAAGAGGAAGCAACAGCGCTGCTGGTAATGCGAGACCAAGACCAATACCTCGGTGAACTGGGGAACATACTCGAAGTTGATGATGCTGTACTTCTACAAAGATCTTTCACGAAAATTATTGCATACTCGGTCGCCTACGATACTTGTTTTCCCCATTCCAAGGGCGCGGCGAAATACATCACAGGCGAGGCTCGAGTGAAGAAGATGCTTGGGGCAGAGCTCTTTGTGGAATTAATCAATCTCCACTTTGCTGATATTATTGCTCTCTTTTTCAACCTCATTAATCACGAGAACAAGGTGGAGGATTTCTGGGAGAGGAGGGAGCCACTTAAATACGCTGCAACAATCATGAAAAATATCAAACGCCTCAGCTATTCCGACGTCGAGTTGCCCCCGAACCAACAGCCGACTTTCAGGCCAAAATATCTGGCAGCTGAAGTCCAACACTTATGCTCACGAACGGAACATCAGCATGGCAAACTCTACACTGCCCCGTTGCTTACTTCCATCGCAAGAAAACTTCTCAACACCGTGCACCCGGCTCTTGGCTCATTACATGCCTGTTCCGTCTTGCGGAAGCTTCGAACTCTCATATCACTCGCTGGAGAGAGTGCGACTCAAGGATATCCATTGGAAATGTTGTTGCAGTCTGTACGCCCCTTCCTCACCGATCCCGAATGCACGGATGACGCCATTGGCATCATTCAATATTTAATGAGCCAAGGTTCAGTTCATCTACTCCAAGTTCCATCATTCGTTGCAGGTATTGCTTTATCTATTCTCGGATCCGTAAGAGCCTTGTTGGATGCGACCAAGGCAAGCACCACGCAAGAGAGTCAATATAAGAACACGATGTCCAAAGCCGAGGCATTCCATGAATGGACTGGTCGATATCTTGCGAAGTACAACTCACCAGCGCTGGCAAGCCATTTGCGAATGCATTTCCAGACACTGGTTCAATCTGCACTTCAAACCACCGTGGTTGGCAATGCCAATTCCGGGACCGCTGAGAGCCATCTCCTACACCAACTCCTCAAAGACGAAAAAATGGAGGTGGGCTTGTTGAGTCGACCATCCCGCGAGCTTGCCCTTTCAATGTTGTGCTCAGATTTTCGTGGACCAGACTCTTTCCGCACCGACATTCTTGGCAAAGATAACCTCTCCATTGGAAATGCTGCTGTTGTCTGGAAGTCGTGCAAAGGATTGACAAACAAGCAATATTTGTCATGGGCTGCACGTGTTCTGGGCAGAGCTTTTGCTGCGTCCGGACATATTCACGAAGAGCTTCTTCAAGAGTCAAATCTATCGAAGCTCAAGGAGCTTGCACCCGCACTAGACGAACCAGGAGATTCGAGGGGTGGAATACTTAGTTTGCTACGAGAATTGACACTGGGGCATGATGCTCAGGTGCTTGGGCTGGCTGAGACCGCCCTTCGGGTGATTGTATCTACTTCCGATGATACCCTCGCAGGTCTTTGCGAAAGACATCTATCCGAGTCTCTCGCCGTTGCCTCTGTTTGGATGCCATATAAAATACCACCATCCGAGTTGGAGCTTGCATCACAAGACTTGTCGCTGCATGACGAACTCCACCCCGACGCCATACTCCGAGACCATTGGATTCGTGATCTTTCGATCGCGATAGCTCAAGCTGTGCCTAGTGACCACCTGTTACTATCCCTGGTTCCAATTCTGCGAAACGTTCCTGGATTCGCTGACCAAGCTTTCCCATTCATCCTTCACTTAGCTCTTTCTGCATCTACTCAAACCCATAATGCTAGGAAACGCGAAATTTCTCAGGCATTTGGTACTTGGTTTGATAACAGCAAGGTCGTGGAGAAGAACAATTTGAAGATGCTTTTGAATGCGATTCTCTTCCTGCGCACGCAGCCTTTGCCTGGGGAGAAGTCCTCGGCAGAGCGATTGCGATGGCTCGAGATCGACTTCATGAAAGCTGCAACAGCTGCTGCAGAATGTGGCATGTTCAAGACGGCTCTTCTGCTTGTGGAAGAAGTTTGTAGCCAGCCGACGAGATCATCCCGCCGTTCATCGTCGATCAACTCCGACCAATCCGATATTCCAACATCTCTTTTGCTCACCATCTTCGAGAGTATTGATGATCCAGATATGTACTATGGTGTGCAGCAAAATGCGAATTTAGACACCATTCTGGCGCGATTCGAATATGAGAAAGATGGCCTGAAAAGCCTTGCCTTCCGTGGCGCCCAGTACGACAGCCATATTAGGCGGCAGAATCCCGAGTCAACTCAGGATGTTCAGTCCTTGGTCAAAGCACTCGACGTTTTGAGCTTGAGCGGACTGTCTCATTCGCTTTTACAAGCGCAGAAAACCATTGGCATGACACCTGCATCACTTGAATCAATGTTTCGAACAGCACGAAAGCTTGAGCAATGGGACATACCCGTCCCCAGCACTAGCAGCAGCAATTCGATTACTCTCTATAAAGCGTTCCAGGCAATCAACAACAGCTTAGACTATTCCACGATCTTGCAAGCGATAAATGAAGGCTTGGAGAGTACTATGACGCCATTGGTTCAACAAGACCTAGGTGCGAGCGCGCTTCATGATAGCTTACAGACACTGGCGACCTTGGCTGAGATGGACGAGGTCCTGAGCTCACGCGGATCTCAACAATTTGAAGAGGTTCTATCTAGATTCCAAAATCGGTCAGGCTGGATGAAGATTGGACGGTATGTTGCACTTTCATATCCGCTAGTCAGAACTAATGAGAAAATAGATTCGACGACGTGAGCCAGGTCTTGTCATGTAGAACGACTACCTTGAGCACCTTGAGCCAGCAACCCCGTCTCCAGCAAATGATAAGCGTCAAGGCACTCGATACTCGGCTCGTCGAAGTGCAAAGTGCTTTGGTGGCTTCCAGTATCAACCGTGCTCATAATGCACTCCAAGAATCTCTTTCTCTCGCAACTTCCATGATTGGGCTTATTGGTCCTTGTCTTGAGGTTGGTGTGAATTCAGAAGTTGCGATTCATCTAGAAACTGCGAATGCCTTGTGGGACCAGGGCGAAATGGCATCATCTATCGGCATGCTGCAATCTTTAGACAATGTTCTTTTGCTGAAGAAGCAGACAATTCCTGTCGGAAGATCCAATTTACTCTCGAGAATTGGGCAGCAAGTCTCAGTCGCCCGGCTTGAGAAGGCCGATCGAATCATCGAAAAGTACCTCAAGCCGGCACTCAAGGAATTGAGAGGGAGAACGAGCGGAAGTGAGCCAGGCGAAGTCTTTCATCAATTTGCAGTATTTTGCGACCAGCAACTTCAAGACCCGGACAGCCTAGAAGATCTTGAACGCCTTAAGAAGCTGAGCAAGGACAAGGCCGAAGAGGTCAAATCTTACAAGAAGCTCTACAGAGACGCCGGAACGCCCGATGATAAACAGAAATACAGCAATCATCTGAAAAAGCATGAGACGTGGCTGAAACTGGACGAAGAAGAGCTTCAACGTCACAACTCAAGCAGAGACGAATTCTTGCGACAGTGTTTGGAGAACTACCTGCTCGCTCTAGCTGCTTCTGATGACAATAATGGGAACGCTTTACGATTCTCAGCTCTATGGCTCGAGCATTCCGAAGAAATAATCGCGAACGAGGCTGTCTCAAAGCATCTGACGCAGGTTCCAAGTCGAAAATTCGCACCGCTCATGAATCAGCTCGCCTCTCGGCTTCAGAATACGACCGTCAAATTTCAACAGCTGCTGTATGATCTCGTCTTGAAGATTTGCACAGAGCACCCATATCATGGCATGTACCAGATTTACTCTGGTGCCAACAGTCGCACCAACTCAAAAGATGAATCTGCTGTCTCCAGAAAAACCGCAACGGTCAAGATTGCTAATGATTTGACAAGAAAACCGATTACTGCGCCAATCTGGCTCGCGATTCAGTCTACTAATAAATATTATTGTATTCTCGCGGGCGAAAAGGACGACTCGAGGTATAAGACTGGGAGAAAGATATCTCTCAAAGACTCGCCAGCTTTGAGTCGTCTGCAAGCTTCTTTCACCAAATACCAAGTCCCCCCACCCACAATGCAGATTGAACTTTCCTCGGTCCTCGACTATTCCAAAGTCCCTCACATTGTCCGACTTGAGCCACAGATGACAATTGCATCTGGTGTCAGCCTGCCCAAGATCATCACAGCACTTGGTAGCAACGGGGCCAAGTTTAAGCAATTGGTAAGCTATGTGCTTACAAACGATTCCAGGTTCGAGGCTAACATAATTTAGGTGAAAGGAGGTACCGATGATCTTAGACAGGACGCAATCATGGAGCAAGTCTTTGACCAAGTCAGTCAGCTCTTGGAAACTAATCGCTCAACACGTCAACGAGACCTAAGCATCCGGACCTATAAAGTCCTGCCATTGACCAGTACTGCTGGTGTTATTGAATTCGTCCAGAACACGACGCCTCTGCACGAGTTTTTAATGCCAGCTCACGAACGATATTATCCAAAGGATATCAAGGGTAGTCAGTGCCGTAAGGAAATCAGCGAGGTGCAAGGAACTTCTGTTGAGAGCCGAGTAAAGAAATATCGCAGTGTAACGGACCGGTTCCACCCAGTGATGCGCTATTTCTTCACAGAGCGGTTCAACGATCCAGATGTGTGGTTCGTGAAACGACTGGCTTATACGCGAAGCACCGCAGCGATCTCCATACTTGGACACGTGCTTGGTCTCGGCGATAGACATGGGCATAATATTCTCCTAGACACCGAGAGCGGGGAAGTAGTGCACATTGATCTGGGGGTGGCCTTCGAGATGGGCCGCGTTCTACCTGTTCCTGAGCTAGTTCCTTTCCGTCTGACTCGTGATATTGTTGATGGCATGGGAATCACGAAGACTGAGGGGGTGTTCCGACGGTGTTGTGAGTTCACGCTCGAAGCTCTGCGGAAAGAGGCCTACAGCATCATGACTATCCTGGATGTGTTACGGTATGATCCTCTCTACAGCTGGTCGATTTCTCCTGTTCGTTTGGCAAAAATACAACAAGCACAGAGTGCGGCGCCAGCAGCAACGGATGTTGGAAATGGCAGTGAGAGACCAAAGGAGGCAGTCAACGAGTCGGGCGAAGCTGAGCGGGCCTTGACAATTGTGAATAAGAAGCTGTCAAAAACCTTAAGCGTCACTGCTACGGTGAACGATCTCATTAATCAGGCAAGTGACGAGAGGAATTTGGCGGTGCTATATTCAGGTAAGCACTCCAACACCCTCTTCAAAGCGCTTTCTCACATTCGTAGGCTGGGCTGCATACGCGTAACAGAGTTGGGAGTGCATGTGGCTTGCACTTGCTTTGTATCCAGACAGAATCTAAGTACTCTGTCCTGTACAACATACATACCCTACCGGTTTTCATCGATTGCTTCACGGCAAAATCGGCGTCGTCATATTGGGAGATTTGTAATTATGTGAGATCACTGGAAACGATCTCGGGGGCAGCTGGATTTGGAACCCGAATACGATTTGCGGTTTCGGATTAAAAAATGATCCACGATGTACTCCGTACCAAAACCTGAGTATATCTCGAGCTAACCAACCCTGGCACCCAACCCGGGAACTGGGGAATAAAAACAGCTTTTAAATTGTGAGTGTGAGCCGAGGCGGGCCCCACCCCCACATTTCTCCTCGTGGCATTCACACAGAGGCCCAAGCCATCCATCCTCAAGTGGGGAATCCTCAAGGCGCGGCGAGGTTTCTTCTTTGAATCAGGGATGCTACTTCTCTCTCACCGCTAACTCTTTTATCTCTTTAACTGTATGATTACACTTCTATCCTTGGGCCAGAATGCGGACAATTCGAGCATCTGGCGGGTCGTAAGTGGGGTACAATTCTCTGGCAATGCGCTGTCCCCCAATGTCGACTGCAAGATAGCCTCTTCTTGATCAAGATTTCCACGTTGCGAGTATTGAATCGCAAGAATTAGGAGAGGCGGACACATGACATGTAAATCAAAGCAGCTCCAGTCACAGTCTTGAGGAATTGTGCATTTCATCCTCCGCCTCGAGTACACCTGACCACTACCCCGCAACTGGCGATCGCATTCAGTGAGATTCCGGCATGGCGGACCCAATCCCAATCGGACAATACTCCGACGATGCGCCGGCTAAACCTTGGTCAGCCACCATCTTTTCAGCATTCTCGTTGTCAATGCCATCTGAAGTGTGCGAATTGCTACTTTTCGCTGGTCTTTCGAGTGACGCCAGTGGACAAGTGTCAACGAGAGGCTGAGATAGCTGGATATCCTCCAATCGTAACCCACCAATGGTGCCTCGGAACAAACGGTGCGAAAAACAGCCGAAGAGCTATCTCCCACTATGCAGTGCCATCTCGAAGCAAGCTCCCGGAGAACGATTTCCTGATATAAGAGAAAGATGATCAGCTGGTCATACCCAAGAATGATAAACCGAGGAGGCACATGAGAATAGTTTTCCTTTGTCCTCTTTTGGAGTTAATTGTAAGAAGTGGACGTGCGTATTTGAACTTCATGATGCCGCCTGCTTGGGCTCATGACATTCGCTCACCGACCAACCAACTCTACGGCAGCACTCGTGTCGATTTGACCTTACACTTCTGTTTATGCTAATAATGAAGTCTCTTCTACCTCTTTTATTGGCCCTTCCTGTCGCTTTTGCCTCTCCAGTCAAGCGTGCAGCTGCTCCAACTGTGACGATTGCCTCACCTGCAGCGACCATCATCGGCTCAACTGGGACTTCAGTCGAGTCCTTCAATGGAATTCCATTTGCAAAGCCGCCGACTGGGTCTCTCCGCCTGAAGCCTCCTCAGTCCCTCACTGCCCCTCTTGGTACCGTTACGGCAACTGGAATTGCCCAAGCCTGCCCCCAATTCTTCTTCAGTGATGCCACAGGTTCACTGCCCACGGAAGTCCTCGGCACATTGTTGGACCTTCCCCTCTTCCAGACAATCACCAACGTAAGTATAGTATTTCAACTCCTAAGTCCTAGTTTCAAAGCCAATGCTAACATGAGAACCTGGGTTTAGGCTGGAGAAGATTGCCTTACAGTGAATGTGAACCGCCCCGTTGGAACAACTTCTACGTCAAAACTCCCGGTGCTGTTCTGGATCTTCGGAGGCGGATTTGAGCTCGGATCCACCCTGATGTATGATGGTGCCTCCCTTGTTGCTGACAGTGTCTCCGATGGACAACCAATTATCTTTGTTGGTGTCAACTACAGAGTCGGCGGCTTCGGGTTCTTGCCAGGAAAAGAGATTCTCGCAGATGGCTCATCAAATCTAGGCCTTTTGGATCAGAGACTTGGACTTCAGTGGGTGGCTGACAATATTGCTGCTTTTGGCGGCGACCCAACGAAGGTGACCATTTGGGGCGAATCAGCTGGCTCCATATCTGTATTGGACCAAATGGCACTGTATGATGGGAACATTACCTACAAAGGCACGCCTCTATTCCGAGGCGCCATCATGGATTCTGGAAGCATTGTGCCTGCCGATCCTGTGGATTGTCCGAAAGGACAGGTTGTCTATGATGCCGTGGTCTCGCATGCCGGATGTTCTTCTGCAGCCGATACTCTGGAGTGCCTCCGAGGCCTTGACTACGAGACATATCTGAGTGCTGCCAACTCTGTGCCTGGTATCCTGAGCTACTCTTCCATCGCATTGTCGTACCTGCCGCGGCCGGATGGAGTGGTTCTCACTGCATCACCCGAATTGCTGATTGCAGGAGGCAAGTACGCTGCAGTTCCATTTATTATTGGGGACCAGGAGGACGAAGGGACGCTCTTTGCTCTCTTCACACCGAACATCACCAACACTGCTCAACTGGTCACCTATCTCTCTTCGTACTTCTTTCACGATGCAACGACAGCTCAGATCCAGGCCCTGGTTGCGACTTATCCTGACAATATCTGGGACGGCTCCCCATTCAACACTCTCCTTCTCAACGAGTGGTATCCTCAATTCAAGCGCCTTGCAGCTATCCTCGGAGACCTCACATTCACGCTCACACGCAGAGCATTTTTGAATCTCCACACAGCAGTTAACCCATCCGTCCCTTCCTGGTCATACCTAGCATCCTACGACTACGGAACCCCGATCCTCGGCACTTTCCACGGCAGCGATCTCCTCCAAGTATTCTATGGAATCTTGCCTAACTATGCGTCGAAATCCATCCACTCGTACTACTTCTCATTCGTGACGAATCTGAATCCGAACACTGGGTCGAGTTATATGAATTGGCCGCAGTGGAGTGCTGGCAAACAACTAATGCAGTTTTACGCGAGCTATGGGACTGTACTAGTGGATGACTTTAGGTCGACTAGTTATAATTGGATTGCGGCGAATGTGGCGAGCCTTCATATTTGAGAGATCAGTTTGCTGGAAGACCTAATGTTACGGAAGGAAATCTTGAATATCAAAAACCTTTGAGCAATGCAAAGCACTAAAAACTGTCCCCCTTGAGGTTCCCAAAAATAACTGTGCTAGGCGCTATACAGATACTCACGCTTGTGTTCCATCGATCGTCCCGATCGTCAAATTCATCAGCCGTAGGCGACACTAGATTTAAACCCCCTCTTTTTTAAAACCGCGTCGGGGCAGGACCGCGACTTTACTAACTACTAATAACTTAGCACTGCAGCTTAAATTAATCGCAGGCTCCGATAATCTAAGCCTTATAAAGGGCTTATATTTTTACTAAGAATTAAAGCCACGGTTAATAAGTAAGCGTTTGAGAAATTTGCGACCGAGTTTTCTATATAGTTTCAACGAAATATCCTAACTATACTCTTAAATATTATCTAGACTATATAAGCTCCTAGAATTATAAAATTCGGCTTACTCTAATTAATTCTAGCTATAGGGCTCTTACTTTAGATTAGTACTTAAACTTTATCAAGGAAAGGCTTATTTTTAGAGTAAAATAAAGAAAAATGAAGAGGCGGGAAGAGATGAGGATGAATGCGAGTCTTAAAAATGGCGTTTCCTCGCCTTTCTTAATGACTCTATGCTTACTTATTTAGAATAAGAGCCCTATAGCTAGTATTAATTACAGCGAGCCGAAGTCCGTAATTTTAGGAGCTTATATAGTTTAGATAATATTTAGTTGCGCGGTCGAAGGGTTGTGAGATGGCGATTTTGCTCCAGACGCGGTTTTGGTGTTCTCGCTAAAGGTGGGGGTTGTGAAGCTGGTTTCGCCTGCGGCTGTACCCGTCCGTGCCGTCCCTGCTCTCTCCAGATCCCTGGCAATTTACAGGGAACTGGGGCGGCAGTGGCGGCAGTGGCGGCAGAGAAGGCTGAGCTGTCAGCACTAACGTAAACTCTATTTCTCCTTGATTTCGTCACACCCATCTTTCTTTCTCATCAACAATAATTCCGAATGCTAGACGGGAGAAATCTCGAGGAGCAAAAAGGAAGCGCAATGTCAATATCGTATCTTCAACATGCACACCGGCGCCACGATTCAAGTTCAAGTCAGAACATCGACAGCGACGGGATCTCATTCTCGGACCTCCGCTCTTCGAATACATCGTACAAGCCGGTCACGGGTTATGAAGAGCTTGATCTTGGCGACGAACGGTCGTCGTTGAGGCCGATTATTGATCGGAAACCGATCCAAAGCCAAAGTGCTTCTCCAACTTTTGCCCCGGTTCATCCTGTCAATCATGACTTTCTGAGCAGTGCTGCGCCGACGCCGTTGCCACAAAAACACCTTTGGAGGACAACGGTTTGTCTGCTGTTAGGATTGCTGAGCGTGCCGTTTTATGTGTTTTGTGGGTTTGCGTGGCATTATCATGATCGCCCTGTGAAGTCGAAGGATCAGAGTAATAGTTTGAACTCGTTTGGGAATAAGGTCCGTGATAATTTTGAGCCTCGAGGTGTTGAGTATTGATGAGAATAGCTCGCAACCGCCTTCCCATTCGCGTTCTCGCTGGTAGTGGGCCATACGGTGAGGCGAATCGGATCATGGAAGCTTGAACGGGGAACGACTCTTGGATCTTTGGAACAGATTATGGGGAGCGTGGCTCTGGGATCCACGATCATTACGCAGGCCCTCCTTCGTCGTCCCAATATTCTGGCTCTACTCCTTCTGGTGACGTGGGCGCTGTCACCTATTGGAAGTCAGTCTTCACTTCAAATCTTGACGGTTGGTGTGCGTCCTACTGTGAGCAACTCTACCATACCTTATTTCAACACCGATTCTACGCCCGGATTTTCGGAAGGCGACTTCTGGAATGGACCTTCCCTCAATGCATTGTTTTCTTCATCCTTGATGGCACCAGCTTCAATCAGAAATTCGAGCATGGATTTGTGGGGCAACGTAAAAGTACCGGATATCTCCAGACTTCCTTCGTCGGCGAACTCGACTGGATGGACCAATGTTCCAGTGCAGAACACGACTTATTCCTCCGTCCTCGGAATCCCGTTTAGCAATCTCTCCAAACGAGGGAACACAACTTTCTTCATGGAGTCCTCATATATTGCTCTCGATTGCTACGACAATGTCACCGCAACTGAAGGATTCTATAATTATACAGCCATTAGTGACGTTTTTGAGGAACTGCAAAATGGCACACTGCGGAACGGAACATATTATGCTACAATTCCGGTTAACACCAGTACATTGTTTCCAATGAATTTCGCAAGAACGTTCTCTATCGCCATTGATGGATTCTATAGAGGTGGAACTTTTGGCACGGTCACCGAGTACATCAATGACACATCAACCTACGAGCCTCGGACATTGCTATACCAGACTAAATACGGAGGGGTAAGTGCCTGGTGCCCGATCACTACAAAATATGTCCAGTCAGCAGTCGAATGTGTTGGCACTGACTGCTCCGTCGTTGCCATTCGACCCTCGCAACTCAAGCACGCGAACTCGAACTTGACAAATCTCGGCTTTATAGCAGCCTATGATGACTTCTGCACTTACCTCATGTTGGCTTCATCTGCTGACTTACACGACGGAACCTCGTCAGCTCTCGAATTATATATCGGCAATCCGGACTCAGCCCCTCACGCAGGACTTATCTACCCAAACATCACTGGCATCAGCGCCAGTGACCTGGGAATCAGGCTTCAGCAAGTAATCAACACATATTGGTACGGCAGCTATGACCCGGTCAGCATGATGGGCTTCCTTAACCTGAATATGTCGGACGACCTACGTACATTCAATCTCACACGCAATACCACAGCCACGAACATCGTCTTCAACGAAGTCTACGTTATGCACTTCGGGTGGTTCTTCGCTCTCCTTCTTGCAACGAGCACAATGCTTGGAGCGGCCCTCATCGGAGCTTTCCTCAGCTGGCGCATTCGGGGACCGGATATTTTGGGCCAGTGTTCGACGCTGTTGAGGGATACTCCTTATGTGACTGGTGTGAAAGCGGGGACGACGTTGGATGGGTTTGAGAGGACGAGAAGAGAGGGAGCTACAAGGGTGAAGCTGCTGGATGTTGATCCGGATAATGAGGTGGGGTATATTGCGATTGCAGAGAATGTTGGGAGACCTGGTGGAGGACTGGTTAGGGGGAGGTATTATCGGTAGGATCGACACTTCCGGATGCCATCAAACCATTTCCGCCTTCTTTTGGATCACATCTAAAAGCTTGGCATCTACAAGGTTTTTGAACGTTCTATTGGTGTTGTTTCGGTTCTTTCGCAGCACCGATCATTGCTGAGCAGATTATCTTATGACATAAGACACCCGAGACAAGTGTTGCTGACTTTTGACCGCATCAAACGATCAATACTGGTAGTTGCCATGAACACCAGATACCAACCATGCTCTGCAAGTTCCGTGAGAGCTTCGATTACGATCAACTTTGTTCAGATGGAGGCTACAAGCACCATGCTAAGTTCATCTCTCTGACGACTTCTAGAAAAGCTGGGTGCGAGCTCTGCGGATATGTACTCGACATGGCTGTGGAGACGCAGAGAATTTGGGAGCTTGGAAGGAGACACAGACACTCCAAAGTCTGCCACCGAATAAGCAATTATCTTGTAGAGCACCCTGGGGTGGAGACAGCCACAATATCATATGGAACGCTGGTGAAGTTGACGTCGGGAGACTGTATATCTGTACAAAAGCCGGAAAGTCTATTAATATCGTCAATGAGAGAGATTTGATTGTTTCGACAGGTGATCCTCTTTCAAAAGTATTCCCTGGCCGTCCAGTCACCTCGTCCGTCTTGGATAAGGAATACACAACTGTCTTGAAAAGTTGGGTGGATGGATGCCAAGACAAGCATCAATTGTGCCCAAATCGATCAGACCATCTTCTACTAACGGGGGCCTTTGATGTTGGTTCCTTGACCAAAGAGTCTCGACTAGTGATCTCAGAAGGCCAAACTGGCCAGTGGGCTTCATTAAGTCATTGCTGGGGAGGATCAGTCGCTCTCAAGACAGAAATAAGGACAATCGAGAAATATTGTCAGGGGATTGTACAGTTTGTACTTGAACTTTTCCCATCAAAATTTCGGGTCATGATCCTTAGCTCGGGAGCTGGGCTAAAGGTACCTCTGGATTAATGCACTTTGTATTTTGCAAGACTCTCACGAAGGTTGGTCCACACAGGCTGCGGTTGTGGATTACGTCTACTATAGCTTCACCAGATAGCCTGACTGATATTATCGAAAATACCAAAGATCTGCGATATAAACCATCAATATCTCCGAAAACTTGGTGTCATAGCAAAAGCAGAGGTGTCAGCGGAGCGATTCAGTTCCGTATTGACATTGAACGCCAGACAGAACGTAGCTCTCGCAGTGTGCTCAGTGCCCGAGCATGAACATTACAAGCAGAACTTATTTCTCCCTGTACGCTACGGTTCTCTTCACAAAAACTCGTGCGGGGATGCCCTAAAATTGAACTCAATGAGTGGTGGTCTCGATCACAGCAAGGAATATATCGGCCCCACTTCGCTCCACCCCTTTACGATACATTCTGGACAATTCCACAACGCCCCAAAAGCCGGAAGCCCCTTCGCCTCAATCTCACCAGGCATAAACTCATGCTTAAACTTATATTTGGAGGTTCCTCCTTTTCGGTAAAAGCGATTTCAAACTAGTTGTGGTGGTTTTCCATGGAAGTCAAAGGTCGAACGTCTAAAAAACGGTCCAGGCACCACGCAGGAGCAGGAACCTAGTGTTCAACATTACCGATCCCCTGCTTGACCATCGCGCTACGTGCATTTATAGCTTCAACCAATGGAGTCGTCGGCTCCACAAGCTACTCATGGTAAAGTAGCCGGTATATTCTATCTAGAACGCCAGCACAATCGATTTGGGCCCAACTCCACGAGGGCGCAAAATAAGTCCTGTATTTTGTCGCGTTGGCCCTTGCAGTTCACCAAGCGAGGCCATGTTGTATATCTTCGGACCAAAGACCAACGATATACTGGCAGCTCGGGAGGCCAGCGATCTTATTGGCAATTCCAGACAAGGCAACGAGTTTGTCCTTCTCGAAAGTTAGATTTTGATCCACATACTGATTCACCACTTCGGTGTACCATGAGTATGTGCCTCTGCGGCCTCGCAACCAAATGGACGAACTTATCGAGGGCTCGGCCTTTTCTCTGTTAGGCGGCGGTCGCGATTTTTAGTAATAATAAGTTGATTGGTAAGTGTTTTTGGTTGCTCGAGGTTCAGACCCCTGACTTATCTCTAACTTCAACTTGATATTTGAAAATCTTCGACCACATACGCTCTCTTGTATAGGTCGGTGATTGTAGCTTTGATCTTGAAAGATACTGGGGAGGGTGACCGGCACGGAAGAATCGGGAGGGGCGTTAATCCCGGCGGATCCGGAACAGAAGATAGAATGGCCGACGAAGACTTTCACTATTATTTAAGCATTCTCAGTGGTAGACTTAAGCGATGAATTTATCACGCGTCCTCAAGGTCTTTTGAACACGCAAGAGTTTTGGTATTTCTGCACAGAACCTGTCTTCAACTAGCGCAGGGATCGACATGGTCTGGTCGCCAAAAGGTGGAGAGCTAAACCTTAGAAATGAAAATAGGGGTCAGGTCACGTGAATCAACAAACCTTCAGCGGTCGTTATCAATCACCCCACCTTCAGCTTATCTTTGTCTGCGTATCTTCACTAAATTCTTACACCCCTCAGATCTGGCCATATATACTTCTCTTAGTCTTTTCATTCTAGGTGTTGTCCTTCATCTCCTTCACCTCGTCGAGAATCCACAAACTGAAAACATCACTAGATAAACAAATCAATCGCTCCACAATGGGCAGCATGGAACAGCCTCAAACTCTCACCTATGGCACATTTCGCTATATCACCAAGGGAATCAAGCCAACAGAAAGCAAGCACCTGTACCACCTTCCCGAAACATCCGAATTTGGAGACATTCGCTCCCTCCCCATGACAGACATCCGCTCCTCTCTCGACCTCGGCCAAGACTCGCCCTACAAACTCAACCTCCAAGGCTTCACAGCCCGCCGGCACCTCACCGCCCTAAAATCCCCACCCTACACCCACGCAAGCTGGAACGACGAGACAATCCTGAAAGAAATCTACATCCCGGAGATCGAGGCCCTGCTCCTGGACGTCACGGGCGGGAAAACAGTCTTCACAGACTCAGTCGTGATGCGCAACAACATCCACATCGAAATCGACGGCCTCGCCCGTGAAGAGAGTAAAGAAGAGGTTTCTGAGTTCCCGAAGTTTGTGGGTACGAAGGTTGGTTCGGGTGGCTCGCCGGCGCCGAAAGTGCATTTGGATTATGCGCCGAATGGGGCGAGGGCGCATATTAGAAAATACCATGCGAGGGTTGCGGAGTTGAGTTCTGAGATCATTGAGGCTGAGGATAGGCTCCTTGCAAAGGGGATCTCGCTCGCGGAGCTCAAGGATCATTATAATGGCCCGCGTTGGGCTATGTTCAGTGTTTGGAGGCCTTTGAAGACAGTGAAGCGTGATCCGCTTGCTTTGTCTGATTGCAGGACTTTCCCGAAGGAGGATTATGTTGATTACAAGGTCTCTTTCCCATCGGCTGGGGGAGAGGAGAGCCATAAAGAGGAAGTGTTTTTGGCATGTGGGAGTGAGGGACATGCGTGGCATTGGATTTCAAATCAGCGACCTGATGAGGTACTGATTATTCAGTTGTTTGATAGTGAGGCGGAGAAGAATGGGCTTGGTGTGGCGGGGGGTGTGATGCATTCTAGTGTGCATATCGATGGGATGGGGAAGGAGGAGGCGAGGGAGAGTGTTGAGGTGAGGTGTACGGTGATTTGGTAGATTCGATTTGAATTCTAGTACGGAGACAGCGGCATAAAGTGACGGGAATACAGGGCATGCATAATTCTAGGGCCTCTAATATGCCCTGTAGTGTCTCACTTGGCCCTGCAGCCACTGTAATTACACTGAGTCAAGGCCATAAGACCCTTGAAGGCTCACTGAAACCTCATGCAGCTCGATTAGGACGTTATATTAAGCTACAGTATTCTATAGGGCCTTAGCCCCTATATTTTTAGACGTACAGTACTAGCCAACTGATATTAGACAAAACCCCTTTTTACACCAAAACTCGGGTATAACACTTTCGCAACTAACCACATTCCGACCCTTTTACAGTAAAAATGTCTGAGTATAGCTCTTAATTGGATTATTGCGCTTAATTTTATTAATTACGATAATTCCAGGAACGTATGGTCGTAAAGTTGGGCGGCCGTAAACTGCGACGTTTTTGCCTTACCCCACTTTTATACCAAAATTCGCTTAATTTTGAGCTGAATTCCGGTCGTTGCAATACACGAGTAGACTGAAAAGGAACCTCTTATTTTCAGCTTACCTGGAATCGTATAAAAGTTAGATCTTGTACTGTGTATTTCGATTCCAATTTGTTAGATCGGTTTACGCATTGTGGGCGTTGTGATATTTCACCGCAAAGTAGGCAAAGTGGCGATTTTTGGTGGGGTTTCGCGATCTGTCTAATATCAGTTGGCTGTGACTGTACGTCCGTGATCGGTAGCAGGGTAAATTGAGCTTTTACCCCCCCATTAAGCTCTCCCATATTCTTTATTCTTCTTTACTCTCGCTTCAATTTATTATGGCTACTTTTGGAGGTCTTTTTGACTTCCCTGATTTATTAGATAGGCAATCAGAGCTCTCGTCACCCCCTGATTCGTCTAATAACGAGCATTCTAATGAGCATACTAAAGATAAAGACGATGCGTGGTATAATTTACCTACTGATTCAGAAGACGAGGATAAAGACGATAATTCAAGCCCACCGCTTTTGGTACTTCCCATACGACCTGTACCCTTAACTGAACTTGTTGTTTCTACTGCCATACGCAAAGAGCACTCTACTGGTGCGAGAATCAAGGCAATCTATATGCTTGAGAACAGAAAGACTCCGGTTCAGATCAAAAAGGCTATAGGAGTGCCCAAAATAACCGTTTATTAATTATATGCTATTACTAGAGAGCGTAGCTAGAGAGAGAATGAGGATATGCCCTTGGAAACAAGTCATATCTGTTACGGTTGTTACGATATACGGTACTAGTAGGGGTTAGACTAGAGCTAGAGAGGCATCTGGCATCTGAGCGAGGTATCTGTAGTCACCTGATCGTTGTACGTGACCCCGAGCTTAAGCTAGCACGTGGGCCCGTACGTAGCTCGCGATTATTTAGATCCGAGGCTCCTTCGGGATCCTCTTCTCTCTTTAGCTTTGAATCGTCGAAATAGAGACAGTCTAACTATGCCTTCCAGGCCCTAGATCTTGTACTCGTAATATAATTCAAAGCTTACCCATTTCTCAATCCTGCGGAGGATTTAAATAATACCCACCCGATCGGTTTTTAACGAGTACAGACGCGATATACCGTAGCTACTCCCGAACCGGTTAACTAATATCAGAACAAAAGAAAGCCCTAGAACGACTAGGCAAGAAAGCCCTGGACCGGCCAGGCAAGCGGATAGGCTAGTAACCTTACTACTAAACGAAGATCTACAAGAAAGCAAGTCCCGGAATAACTAGGCAAGTTAGAAGAAGCTATAGTATAAGATACTACTAGTATACTACCAGAAGGTGGACCAGAGCCTCTTATCGAGTCTCCTAAGGGGTCCGAGTATCCCGTTAATATTTATAGTAGAAAAGATACTCTCTTTTAGAGAATAGAGGAAAAAGAGAGACCTGCCTTATTAAAGGCGGAGTTCCAAGAGTTACTTTAGAACCCAGAGGCTTTATATAAAGAGATTATTAAGCTAATTCTAAAGATATATAATATCCTTATCTATAGTAAGAATTATCGGGATTAGCTAAAAGAAACCAAGTAAGCCCTATAAAAGAATAAAGCTATTATTGAGAAGCTTATTATATAGCCTACCGGGATAACCGGTTTTCCTATTCTAGAAAGTAAATACTTAGTTAAACTCCCTAATCTTTCCATTTTCGAAGATATAACCAAGAATAGTATTACTTTTAATAATTAGTTAGTTTAGATCAAGAATAAGCTCTATAGTAACTCTAATACCTATTAGATAGAGGACCTCAAGATTATTTATATATCCGGCCATATAAGTAGCTATATCCTTATACTAATCTCTCCCTACTTAAACCAGGATAGTTAATATATATACGAGATTATTAGGGAACTATATATCTATCTGGAGAAGCTATATAGTAACCTGAACAAGAAATATAATACTCGGCAAGTATTTAAGAAGCTATTTATAAAGAAAAGCCAGACCTTTTAGGAGTTCTATACCCTATTCCTGAGATATATAGCAGACGGAAATATTAATTTATAAGACCTTAAGAATAACCTAAATAATAAGCTCACCTGGAAGCTTTAAGAAGCTATAACTATATATTATAATAACCCGGCTATTCGTATTATAGAGTTTATATAATATTATATTATAAATAACTAGTAGATCCGAGCTTATTATAAAAAGAAAAAACAGGTATCTAAGAAAGCTAATAAAGATATAGACAAGCCAAGCCCAGGAGATATTTCTTATATAAAGCCCGCTCCCAAGATCCTAATAATAGATAAGTCTATTACCCCGAAGCCCGGATCCTTAGATCTCAAGTACTATAACTATAATAAATTTGGTTATATATCTAGGAATTATCTAGAGCCCAAGATAGAGTATATAAAGCAAGTTTTAGTGGCCAAGCTAGTAATACTTACTATAAGTAAGCTATTTAAGAGTATAGAATAGGGAAATAAGAACCCCTAAAGGAAGTTTCTTTTTTAGGGCCATATTATATAAATATAGTAAAAGTTAATTTGAACTAGTTACTAGAAAATAAAGCATTTATATTCTCTTATATAATTAGTAATAATAGATTAGGTATTAAGACTTTTTCTCTTATTAATACTAGAATAAATAAATATACTTTTATTAATTCCAAGTTTATAAGAATAATTAAATAATTTCTAGATATTAAATATAAGGTATTTATTAGTAAGTAATAAGATAATAAAATAAATTAGTATATTATAAAACTATAGTATTAAATTCAATATAGAACTAATCTCTATCTCTCCTATAAGGTCCAGGGAAGCCTCCTCTAAATAGGAGGCCCCGATAGTATATATATAATTAGTAATTTATAAGCCTAATATATATAATATAAATAGTAATTAGTTAGGATATTAAAGGGCTGCTAATCTCTCTAATTAATACCTGTAATATCCGAGGTTTATTATATATCTTTAAATTATATATAATCCTATATATATTATAACTATACTTCTTTTCTAGGATCTTATTCCCAAGATTCATTAATCCTAGTAAATATTTAATTAATTATTTATTTAATTAATATAAACTTCTAATATCTTAAGAGGTAGTTTTACTAATATAATCTAGATAATAGATATAAAAATCGTCTAATTAGATTAGGGCTAAGTAAATAAGAAGGAAGAGTAATTATATTCCAGGTATAGGAGCTAGCCGGTAATTATAATTTCGTTTAGGATCTAAGTATTCTAATTAGCTTAATTTAAAGTACTAAGGCACTATCTTATAAAATTAATACTACCTATTAGATCTCGTATTAGAATAATCTAAATAGCTATATAGAAAGAATTTAATAAATATTTATATAAGAAACCTATATAAATATTTCTAAGGTCCTAGAAATTATTTATAGGCTCCTGAAAGCATATATTAATTAGTTATACTAAATTCTAATTAGGACTAGTACGAAAACTAGTAATTAATCCAGATAACTCTCTATTTCTATAAAAGAACCTCTTTATATTACTATATACTTTCTTTCTTTCTAATAACTATATATATAATAACTTCTTCTATTATTACTTTCTAGCCTCTTTTTCTACTCTTCTTTAAGTCTTCTTTAATTATTTTTAATTAATTCTATAATATTTTCTTCTGGCTTTATTATCTACTAATATAATTATAAGTATAAAGGTAATCTTATAGCCTTCTTTCCTATTACTAGTAGATACTTGAAATACTTTAAGTATTTGCTTATTAATTTCTTTATCTTATATACTATAGTATTTAGTAAGAAGAATTATAATTATTATAATAAGGGTTCTAAGTCTTATATATTAGTAAGTTCTTTAGTTTTAATATCTATTAAAGCTAATATAATTTCAGATTCCTTATTACTTATTAGAGGCTTACTAGTTCTAGAAAGATACTATTATAATCTTTAAGAAATTTCTTGAAAAATATCCTAAATAATATTATACTAATATAGATAATACTATTAATTAGGTTTTTAAAAACTAGAAGGATACTAATAAGCTTCGGAATTCTTCTTTCTATCTTAATAAGGCAGAGAATAATATTACTTGAATTAGTATTCTAAAAGTAAGTTCTTTCTAATATATTTAGGTACTTACTAATTCCTTAAAGAAATATTATAAAGTCTATTTTTAAGATATTAATCTTATTACCGAGATTACTATTAAGATTACTAAATAGTTTACTACTAGTATTTCAAGTACTAATAATATAATACTTATAGCTATTTGGGACCTGACTTTAGAAATTCGGGCCTTTTATAAGATATATATAATAATTATAAGTTCCTTATTTATTTCTCTTAATATCCTTAATACTAATATTATTATAGTATAACTATATCCTATTAAGAAATAAGTAGATTCCGGAAAGTATTAGCTAATTCTTTACTAAGTCCTAAATAAAACTAGTATTTGGTATTTTTGCTTTAGAAATTAGGAATTTATAGGAATTAGAGTTTATTTATTTAAGATACCTATAGCTAGTTTACTTATAATAAATCTTTTTTAATTCTAAATCTTTTTTCTAATAATTTAAATATAATTCTTATAAGCCTTAATAAAATCCTAGAAAACCTTTATAGATAAAAAAATCCAGAGAAAGAATATCTCTATTATTATTCCGGGCCTTTTCTTAGCTATCTAGATCCTTTTTTTTTTTAAGTAGTTTTCTTTTTAGTAGTCCAGAATTTTTTTTAATCTTAA